AGTTCGCGGCTTCGCGCGGAGCCTGGAGAGGACATAAGGGCGCGACTCTTCTGCCCAGCAACAGTTATGACCCCTGTCTCTGAAATATATCAGTGTACTAATCACGCGATGATCACTGTTTTGTGTTTAGTCTCTTTCTTCGATACATCATAATAAAAATCCTTTTTATCTGATTATTTCATGGTGTGTTTAGAGATGACTAAAAAAGTTATCAACTTGTTTCAAAAAAATGCATTTTTTGCATTGTATTGTACATTTTTTCTTCAATCGTAACTTTTGTGCAAGAATGAATCGGATGATTAACTTTATTCTTATGACTTCTTCTCTTCCAAAATTTTTGTTTTTGCTTGGAACCTCATTTTGCAGAAAATCGCCGATTTTTTTTAAGAGAGAAAGTGAAAAGAAAACAAGTATTCACCCGCTTCATTCTTCCATAAAAGTGGAATACTCACAAACAATATCAGAGCTGTACTATTATTTGGTAACAAGTTGCCTGATTTCTTTAATCATTCATTCATAAGCTTGTACTTGTATACCCAAATAACTATTATTCTCTTACCCAGGGGCAACGAGCAGGCTAGCGGCGGTTCCCCTCTAGGCTTCAAAGAGATTTTCAACGAACTATCTCTTCAAGAAGGCCTACATTCTCTCGACGATATTCTCAGCGTTATCATCGACCCGGAAGGAATGTCTTTCAATGATCTCAAGCCTATCTATAAGGAGTTCCTCCTGAAACTCTCGCTCACTCTCACTAAAGACGAGCTGTACCAACACTCCAAGAACATAATGAAGAGGCAAAAAAAGAGAATGGTACGAAGGAACAGCATGGCAACTTCGAAGAAAAATCATCGTGTTCTGGTAGGTGAAAAGTTCCGGAGGCTCAGGCATGTGTTAGAGGAACATCAAAGGGAAGCTGGGAAAGAGGACAAGACAGAGTCAAGGACGAAGGAGCAGGGAGTTGCCTACTCCCGTGGATGCTAAATTGCCGGAAAGTTCAATTTCGACGTCCTCGTACGATACGAGGCAGTTCAAACCGAAATCGGAAGTTAGTTCGGGCAAGAAAAATAATTACAGGTAGGAACCGACTTGGTTTACTTATATTCTATTCCTAGTCCATCTACGCCCCGGCACAACAAAGATGCAGCGCGGCAAAGCGGCAGCCGCCTAAGCGTTGCAATAGCTGTTTCGTTTTCGTTGAAGAAAAATGGCCCAATGATGGTTTTGCCGCAAACGCCGGCCCAAACAGTCCCTTTCCGGTGATGCAACGGCATTTCGTGGATCTCATGTGGATTTTACGTCCCCAAACGCGGCAGTTTTGCTTATTAACGCCGCCAGAGAGCGTGAAATGGGCCTCACAATTTGCTTCCAAAAATCAAGTTCAGCATCAACCATGCTAGCGACTGTTTGGGCGTATTCCAAGCGACGTGGACGGTCAGTTGGCAATATTTTTTGTGTTAACTTCACCTTATAATGAAACAAATGCAAATCATCCTTCAAAATGCGCGGCAACGTGGTTCCACTGATGCCACAATGCTGAGAGCGGTGACGATACGACACTTTTGGGTTCTGGGCAACGCTGTCTCTGACCGCTTCAACCAATTCCACAGCCGACGTCAGCTACGAGCCGTGAACAAAGAAATCTGGCAACGTAGGTGTTACTCCCGCCGCTGCTTGCTGCATCGACGTAACTCGTGCTCAAAACGCTGAGAAAACATAACCTTTTCAATTTGTGATTTGGGCTCCCAGAGGCTGTAATTAAGAGATAAGCTTATTTTCTAAGCTTCAAAGTGTGTGTATGTGTTCAAAGTGATCGGTGACTATAATATATGAGAAATAGACTCCAGTTGTAGTGCTTCTGTGCTTTAAAAATAAACTAAGAAGTGTGACTGTGGCTGTTCGCGCCCAGGACGCTAACGATTTCAACTATGAAACGTGCAAATTCAGGGTGTATTTTTCTTTTTTCATTTATCAAGTATTTGACGCAGACAATATGCCTCGTTGTTGTTGTGTTCCTTTATGCAATGCAAACTATAATTCTGCTTTGAAAACAGAAGCTATGTTTCAACTTTTCGCTTCCCAAGTACCGAAAGTCTGAAAAACAAATGGCTTATGGCAATTCCCAGAAAAAATTGGACACCTTCAAAATATTCAGCTGTGTGCAGTCGTCATTTTAGAGAATCGGATATCATCAGGACAGAAAATATAGTTTTGGCGGATGGAACAGTCCAAATAATATACCTTTGAAATATCCAAAATTGAAAGAAAATGCTGTTCCTCCATTTTCCCAAACTTGCCATTATATCTTTCAAAAACTGAAGCAGCCAAAAGAAACTGACCCAATGCAAGAAAACAAAAATTAATTGAGAAACATGAAAAAGCTATCCAGAATTTCGATGAGATGGATAAGATCAAAGATAAATTTAGTTCAAAAATGTGGATTTGAAGTTATTTGTGTTTGTTAATGATAATCACCGAATTAATAGAGCAATGTTCAGGAAATTATTCTATTCCAAATCCACATAATCCGGATAAGAACATATATTTAACTTATGATGTGGCATATTTTCAAGAGTATCCGAAATAATTGGATTAATTTAAAAATCCAAGACAAAACTTTTGTATATCCTAATTTTGACAATAATGATATTATTCAGTATGCTAAATTTGAAAACATTCGTGCTGTATATCAATTGGAAAAGAAGCTGTAGTTAAGAAAGCATATAAATTAAATTATAAAACATTGCATCCGATTCATTTGAAAGGCAAAATGGAAATTTTGTAGATAATTTATTCCATCACTCAACAATAGCTGCTATGAAAGAATTAAAGTTTAATGATGCTGCACACTTTTGGAAATAATCAGGAATTGGTGGGATATTGTCAGTAATACAAGTGTAATAAAAGGAGAATTGAAGCGAAAACGAATTTTGTAAGCCTATTACCAATAAATATGATTATAGAGTACAATTTTTAATTCCTGATATGGTTAGAAAAATGGCATAATCTAGAGAATAATAATGGATACCTGATACCAGAAACGTATACAGCTCTATATCAAAGCACGCTGACTCTACTTAATTTAATTGAATATTCATTTAAATCAATTTGACATTGAGTATGTATTGCCTGGAAAATTCACCACTGATAATTTAGAAAAACGATTTGGCAGTTATAGACTTTTATGTGGCTGCAATTACAATGTGTCATATGATGAAATTTTAATGCTGAAAAGAAAATACGGCTGAAGAATATTTTCAATGAAAGAAATCGTCATTTTCTTTAGCAGAAATTAAAACAAGGTTCCAAAACTGCTTAGAAACTCAAGAAAATTGGATACAAACAAAATCCTGAAGTTTTGGATATATTCAATGAAGTATTTGAGACACATTACTTAGCCAATTGTGACATAGAGGATAGTACAAAGACTTATATATCTGGATATGCTTCACACACTATCTCTAAAAACCTAAACTGCGAGATATGCAAATCGCTAATAGCACTGGACAACAAATTTTAGTTTTTTAATTGTATCTTGTGGGAAAAGTGCACTTCTTTGTTAATTTTGGGGCGCTGAATCCAAAAATGACAATGAAATAAAAAAATTAGTTGCGGTTTAGAAAAAAAAACTTTTTATTTTTAAGGATATATTAAAAAAAGTAACAAGATTCATATACTTATAAGAATCACTATATGCGCTGTCTTTCTGCTGTTCTTTTATGGATCGTTTCTGGAGCATCTCTACCAAGAGTCCAACAGTAGTCTGCAAGCATGGAAAGATTCCACTTTCCCTGGTACCTTTTTCCATTGTTGAAATATCCTGATGAAAACGTTCGCCGTGCTCATCATTTACGGCTCCGCAATTGTCAGGAAAAAAGTCCAGGTGTGAGTGTAGGAAATGTATCTTAAGAGACATATTACAGCCCATCTTTTGATACGATGACAGCATATTTTTGACAAGGGTTTTATAGTGTCAGCTTTTCTATTTCCCAAGAAATTAGTGACCACCAGACGGAAATCATTCCAAGCAGTTTTTTCAATACCTGTTAAAGTGTTTTCAAACTGTGTATCTTTCAAAATATTTCGAATCTGTGGCCCAACAAAAATACCTTCTTTAACCTTTGCCTCAGTCTTGGAAATTTCTGACGCAGGTATTGAAAAGCTGACCCATGTCTATCTAATGCCTTGACAAAGTTTTTCATTAGGCCCAACTTGATATGCAGTGGTGGTAATACAAATTTTTTCTATTAATGGCATATGCTGTACATTTTTTTGACCTGGCTCTAGGAATTGACGAACAGGCCAGTTTTGTCTGGTGTAATGAAGTGCCTTTGCCCGACTGTCCCATTCACACAAAAAACAGCAAAACTTTGTGTAGCCTAGCTGCAGCCCAAGTAAAATAGCAACAACTTTCAAATCACCACAAATATGCCATTGGTGCTCATCGTATTTTATGCATGTCAATAGGTACTTCATATTGTCATAGGTATGATTCTTTCATGTGAACTGCATACCCTACAGGAAGAGATGGTAAAATATTTCCAATATGCAATAACACTGCCTTTAAACTCAATGTTGAACTGTTTATAAACAATCTTCATTCTTCTGGGTTATAGTTTATATTTAAAGCCGCCAGTAAGCCCTTAATGTTACTGCAGAAAACCAAGTTATTCTCCATATTGAAAAATGGTTCTAAGTCTTTGTGGCGTTTACGATAAACACATACCGAAACATCGTCTTCTAACAAGTTCCACTGCTGCAGTCTTGATCCAAGTAACTCTGCCTTACATTTTGAAGTTCTAAATCTCTTACAAGATCATTTAATTCTAACTGTGTTATTTTGTGCGGTTGGTGGCATGACGTGCTCAGTATAAAATCAGGATCTCTTGACGTTGATGGCATATCTTCTTCCTGACGAATCACTCGATCGCCATGATCTGATTCGTTTCTGATTCGCAAGTGTAGGATTCTGGGGGTTTTGGAAAAGGATTTTCGTCACTATGAGGCACAGGTCTCATCGCAGATGGTATGTTTGGGTAGTTAATAACCGATTTTTTTTCTTGGACATACCTGTGGCTTGTCCAACACAAGGTACCATGCAAAAGTAACAATCACTAATATGATTTGTAGGCTCTCTCCAAACCATTGGGACAGCAAAGCGCATAGACCGTTTTTTCCATTTAACCAGCTCCTCAGACTTGAAGCACATGTATTACAGCAGATGTGGGGAGCCCACTGTTTGTCTTGATCACCTAGTTTACAACCGAAATAAAGCTGATATGCCTTTGTTATTAGTGGAGTAATAGACCGTCTCTGAGACGCAAAAGTCACATCACCACACACGTAACAAAACTGATCTGGATTGTTTACACACTTTCGAGACATCTTGCATGAACGCTGTCAGCCAACTGAGGAAAAAATGGCTAATATAAAACAATATAATGTACACGTATGTATAACGTAACACAATCATGCCGATTACATCATCTTTTCTTGCCGAATATAAAAATGTAGCACGTGCATTCTTGTGAATTACAGTATATTAACACTGTCACAGCAGGAACACATATAATTACCGTATCTCTAAAACTTGAACTAATATTGAAAAAATAAGTTTCATTCCGGTTTTAGCACATTAAAAATAGTAATATTTTGTTGATTTTATTTAGGATATTTTTTGGCTGTTGATCAGTGTAGTTAAAGAAAAAGGTTCATTAACAACAAATGGTTATTTTGATCATTTGCAAAGAGAAGGACTGTCAATTCCAATCAGTTATGTACCAATCATATTCTACCATATGTATGCCATTTTTGAATCTATTATTAATGTAGATAGATTGGAAATTTTCTTCTTGAAAAGCAATAATCAAAAATTTATTTTGTGTCAGTTAACCTTGCTCAGCATTCAGTCTGACTTTATATACAGTGAATTTTCTTTAACTTGCATCTGTGGCCCCAATTATGCAGATATTTTATCTAAGCTTTTGTCTATTTTATCAAACATAATTTTAAATGATTATGTAAAATTGAAAAATAACAGTAAATCTTAAAGTAAATGTATTAAAAACAAACAGGTATCTCCACATTTCCAAGCTGGGCCTGTTGGAACACAGTGTGCTGACACCAAAAAACGTAAACTAAATACTTTTAATTAGGTTAACTGCATTAGCGACTCATATATATCACGATTATTTCGTATTTTTAAATTTTTTAGAGCTATTTCATATTCAGACGATTTGTATCGAATCGAACTGTCCTCTTTTCCAAAATTAAATTTAGTTCTTGAACGTTACACGGAGCACACAGCCGCTGGCGGCCGACGTTCACAGGTAGCACTACCATGCCGTCCGAGCGCGGTGTTGCCTTTCTTTCATCACGGCTCGTAGTTGACGTCGGCTGTGCCAATTCATTGATGAACGAACGGTATGTTGATGATCTCCCACTGCCCTGTACTCAAGAAAATTCGAAACCAAACGACGGATAGTGTCGTCAGACGGTGCCTGTTTGCCACGATATTTTCGACGATATGCTCGTTGCGTTAACACAAGTGAACGACAATTTTCAACGTACATTGTGACTATTTCGGCGCGTTGTTTCTGTGTAAAGCGATTCATGACTAAAATTGTAGTAAATTGACGATTCAGAAACACGTATAACCAAATTACTCGGCTGATAAAGATCAAAGTCATTCGATGTTTCAATACCGACATAAAAGATGGCGCACCCGGTATACACACGGAAAAAGTGTCTGGGTCTTGCTAGATACTAATACAGGGTTTGATTTACAGAAGGAAAAGCAGCGATACCACGAAATACAGAAGAGACCGAACGAGCACCAGCGAAGAAAGCGACTTTTTCTCTGTGAAACGCAACCGCGGCAAAACCAAAAGCATGTCGCTAGTGAACACCCAGAACCGAAACTCCTCCTCAGGTTTGTACCACATTTGGCTGTTTATGAGAAACAGCTATCTAGTTTGAACAGGAAATTAACATCCTCGCGTGACATCCTTAATCACCGATGGGCCGATTGTATAGATCATGAAAATCATGAAAAATATACCAATATACTATAGGCAATGAATACAATACTAAATAATAAATACTTGAACTAGGATGTCTGCGAAAGGTTGGGAAATCTCGCTCCTGGAGATACTACAGACCAAAATATGTGAATTGACCTGAACATACCTTAGTCCAAAAGTTGATAGTTTGCGAGATACAGGGTCTCAAAGTTACTATTTTATTCTCTATTTTTCCTTATTGCTTGAGAAGTATTTCAGATTTTGGCATAAACTCTAGTATGAGAAACAAGAATCCGTTATTTTTTATGGCCAAAGTTCTAGAGGGCGCCACTTACAGCACTATTTCAGTAAATAACTTATCATGTTTTGTGCTACCCTGTATACAACAACTGACGAAAAGACTTATTTTCTCGTATTTTCACAATAAAAAAGGTTTACTTGTTTCAAGAGTCTAAAGCTAATAATTTTCGAGCTAAACTTTGCCTGAAATAAAAGTCGTTTGTTATTATTATTATAGCATATACAGTGTGTCCCAGATTCGCTTTTCTGTACAGGGATCTCGGCTCCTGTTATACATACAGCAAAGGTTAAATGGGGAAAGTTTTAGAGGAAACTTAGTGCAATTGGTTTTAAAAATATCAGCGAAAAACCGAAAATGGCGGAATTTGTTTTTGCCAGAATCCAAAACGGTTAATTTGACAACACAAATACTTTATATTTATTGTCCAGATGTTTAATGTTGTCAAATTGTTGTGAAGTATTCTTAAAGTATCGATTTTTTTAATGATCAAGCAGATATAAGAAAAAAAGAAAGAAATCGACTTAATCGAAAAATCATATTTTTAGATTTTTTCTAAAGATAAAATCGTGTTTTTTGCACCACTAAATAGGTGCAAAATATTTCTAACGCGAAATAAAAATCGACGAGTTCAATTGAATTTTTTCCAGTGCTTTTATCGGCAGAAATAATTGGTCACAGAAAGACTGATTTGTAACCAATACGATTATTGTATGCAAAATATAGCTGCAAAATGCAAATAAACGAAAAAGATAGGTACTAACTCCACCATTACAAATCGAAGAAATTTATTTGTGCACACTTCTCTCGCAAAACAAAAAAAAAACTCGTTTTAAGGCTCTTACCAGTAAACAGAAATAGTCCCACAAAAAATGTTTGACGCTGATTGGTCAACCAATTCGATTATCGTCTGCAGAATATTCTACGGACGCGCTGTTAGGTGTATGGCTTGTAGGCGGGTCTATCGTGGTTTTTTATCTCTCATAGGATATTATTGGTTATTTAGAATTCCCTTTGCTTGCTATCATGTAGGAAACGTTGGGATGTGTACAAAATGTTTCGTCTTTCTGAATTGTGGTTCATACGTGATGCTGAGAGACTGGACATATATTCACATTCGTATATACACAATTCCAAAATGTTTACGCTCAAAATAAAACCATTATTTGGGCGTAGAGAATAAACTAACGCATATTTTCAACATGAATCTTAATTCATTAAACGTAATATAAAATCTAATTATGTAAGTGGTATTACGAGCCCCTTCCCACTTCAGTTGGCCCACTTCAAGATTTGTACCAAAATATGCCTTTATAAACTAAACATGACGAAACTATTTACTACTAAAACAATTTATTTTCTCAAAAACATTTTAGCTACACCCTAGTCGTAAAAAATACATATTTGAAATCACTTAGACCTATAACTAATAGAACATCTGAACAAATAAACAATGTGCGAATAAATGCGCGAAGTTAACAAAGCAAGAATTGAAAGATTACCATTGGGTAACAACACCTTTATTTTTTATTACGGTTGAAATTCTTTGGGCATAGTGTTAACCAAGTTTTGGCAAAAATTTGATGTAAAACAATCCCATATTTCTTGAAGCTTTTGTCTCAGTTCGGTGATTGTACGAGCAGGATGTTGTTGTAGAACCTTTTTCATCTCGTGCCACAAAGTTTCAATAGGTGACAGATCTGGACTGCTAGAAACCCATTTCAAAAGTGGTACATTATCTTCTTCCATCCATTTTATAGCCTTTTTTGAGGTATGGCAGGCTGCACCATCTTGCTGAAACACAAAATCTTGGCCGGATGTCAAACATTCTTCCATCACTGGTAAAAGCGATTCTTCTAAAATTGCCAAATATTTGTATCCACATTTCCATCAATAAAATGAAGTTTTCCTACTCCTTTGAAGACATACTGCCCCAGACCATAATGGATGCTGGAAATTTCACTTTTCTCTTCAGACAGTCAACATGGAATGCTTCATTTTTTTTGCGAATAACTCTACTGCTACTGTCACCAACACAAACTTCGAATCGGGCCTCATCACTCCATTGTATTGCACACCATTGGTGAGGTGACCATTGTCTATGTTCTTTAGCCGATCTAAGCCGAGTTTTCTTTTGCAGTGGAGTTAATAGTGGCTTTTCTTTGGCCTATAAACAAGTTGTGCAACTTTAGGGTTTTTCCTTCACTTTTTTTTATGAGAAAACTTACCTTGCAAGTGCTAAATCCCAGTTTGTGGACCTCTCTATGAGTTGTGGACCTCGAAATTCTCCTTCCAACAGCGTCACTCCACAGAGCACTTAATTGTAAATAATTGGCAAGCCTGTTTTTCACGATTATTCTTCTTAATGCTCTACGGTCGGCTTTTGTGATATTACTTTTTTCACATATCGTGGCTTAATATTAACTGAACCAGTTACGTTATATCTTCTAAAAATATTTCTTAGACTGTACCGCGATAAGTCTAACAAAGTTGCAATTTCTGAGTTTGATTTCCCAGAATTAAAAAATTTAATTATCAGTAACCGAATTTTCTCACTAATGAACTTTCCTCTACCCATTTTGAAAACCTTAACTACACAAAACTATTTTAAACGTATTCTGACAGCTGTGATTAATAAAAACAATTGTCATCGCTTTTATTTTTGACAGCCACCTATGCGTTATAGACCTATTTGCATTGAAATGAAAATAGGTTGATATGCTGTAATTACAACATGTGTTATTTTTATGCTACAAATTTGATTAGGGAGTGATAAAGTTGGTGTTTTTTCTACTATATATTATCAAAATATTCATTGTTAATATTTTAAACCTATAATACCCTGCTACATTTTTATTATTTGTGTTTGATAAGAAAAAAACTAAGATTTCAATAATTGGGCCAACTGAAGTGGGAAGAGGCTCGTAATTTACCGATTTGCAAAATGACGTCCATTTGCATCCAGACATTTTTGATAATTGGTGACTGTTTATCGTACAACCTTAGCGAGTGTATTTCTGTTAATGTGTCTAACTGTGCTCAAAATTCTTTGTCTCAAGATTTCTATGGTCGCGGCAGGATCAAGTTCATATAGATACCTCATTCTTTGTGTGACCCCAGAGGTAGAAATCCAAGGGTGAAAGGAGGCCAAGATATTGAACCGTTTAATGAAATTATTCTTTCATCGAACTGCTTTCTTAAGAAGTTCCTGACTTGAATGGTGTTGTGAGCCGAACACCCATCCCGTTGAAAGCAGGTTCTTTTAAGCGCATCTCCAATTCATTTTTTTGTGTTATGTTGGAGTGGCGTTACAATAGTTAATGTTTTTGTTACGTGATGTTCACACAAAGAAAATTTTGTCACTACTTTCCGTTGGAATATCTGTCCTTTCTAACCTTTTTTGTGTGCGATTTTGACGTTAGCTCTAGTAATTATATCGTTCTTAAAAGTCACATTATAAAAATATCGGACCTAAATGTCGAAGTTTGCCATAAGTTTTGGAACACAGCGGAGCTGCTCAACGTTCATGACATTTTTATCAGGATTCTGTAAAAAAAACATATTTCTCATATAAATTTGCACATTGGGCGAGATATTATGTTCTGCCATAAAATAACGAATCTCTCTCTAGATCAGAGTTCCCCAAACTTTTTTGTGTCGTAGACCCTTGCCATGTTTTTCCGTGGTGGGTAGACCCCCTACTTACCTGATATTGATTTACTGTAAATTTCTAACTGTAGTGAAGTTTAATGTTAAAAACTTAAAGTAAAAACACATGTTAATTTATACATTTATTAATTGAATTTAAATTAAAACTACTCAAAATAAAATTTTGTATCTGTTATGTAAAATATACGTAACATTAAATAAACAGGTGTCTGACCAATAAGTGCCCGCATTGGGAACAAGTGCCCCCATTGAAAAAAAAATAAGAGGGATAAAATAAAAAAAGTGAAAAATAATAAAAAAAAAAGTGTTTTACTTAAAATAGTACAATAAGCGAGCTCGTTTATTAATTATAACATAAACGTATGCTCTACAATAATTTCACTGTTAGTTTGATTAAATTCCGCTTTTTATACGTTTAAGTTATCTAAAAATAGGCAAAAAATCAACGAATTTTAGTGTGTACCTATCCTTGAATTTTCAGAATAATTAAAAAAAATATTTTCTATATTACCCCCTTGGGTTCTTTAAAAAAATCAATGCGGGCACTTATTCCCAATGCGGTCATTTATTGGTCAGACACCAATAAACATAAAATAAACTATAAATAAAATAACATAAGCAATAAATCAATATTTTTAGTGAGAAGGATGAACCTGATGCGTTAATAATAAATTATCAACATTTTTCGTCAATTTTTTATGGGTTAATCTTAAATCTCCTCGGCTAATGATGTCCAGTCTGCTTCTTTTTTTCGTTAGGAGATTGGTAACAGCGCTGAACCCCCTTTCCACTAGGTATGTCGATGGAAAGGAAATTAAAAATTTCCTCGCTATATTCCATAATACGGGATAAGTAACGGGTATGTTGTTTTGCAGCCAGAATTGCTGATATCCGTTTTTAAACTGAACCTTAAGTTCTTCGTTTGCACTTAGTTCAGTCAGTTCCTCTTGTATTATGACATTCGTTTCTTCTATGTCACCATATGGATTAATTATCCACGGTTGTATTACCATAGTTAAAATATCCTCAAACCTAGATTCAAAATCTGAATAGAGGGCATTTAAATGTTGAACGTAAGTTGAAACGTTGTCTTCCTGGCAGCTTGTCTGTGACAAATTGGGGAACTGAGAAAATTCGCCCCGTCCAATATTTTGCTTCATTAGTTTAACTCTGGCAAGAAACGCTGATAAGATGGACTTTGTTTTAATCAAATTTAAACTGTCGCCTTGTAATTGCAAATTAACCATATTAAATTTTGCAAACAAATCTTATCAAACATAAGCCTTTCGACAGCCAGCGTACTTCAGTGTGAAGGAGTAATTGATGAAAGTGTTCGTCATTTTCTTCACACAACTGCGCAAATAACCACATATTCAACGCGTTGCTTCGGATTCGCTTTACTGCATCAATGACTAAATGAAGTGATTCATGCAATCTAACACTCAAATTTTTAGCAACTAAATGTTGTCGATGGATGACGCAATGTATTACTAACACCCTGACACATTTTGTTTTAAATAGCTTATAAATCCACGATAACGTCCAACCATGGCAGGTGCTCTATCTGTAGCTACTGATATTATTATTTTTAGGAATTGCTTTTTCAATGAAGTCCTTCAAAACATGAAATATTGATTCACCTTTATTGTCGGTTATCAAAGTTCTTGCGAAGAGCAGTTCTTCGTAGATTTCTTGATTCATAATAAAACGAACATATGCCAATAATAATGCTGCATTATCAGGTAAAGTTGACTCGTCCAGTTGTATAGAGAAATGGGTCGTTTGCAAATAATTACATAAGAAGCTTTCAATATCAGAACTCATTTCATCAATACGTCTTTCAACAGTATTGTTGCTTAAGGGAATTCTTTTAATGTTATCAGATGCAGCTTTGTGTAAAACAGTTTTTAAACCTCTTCAACGGCTGGCAAAATTAACTTCTCTCCGATAGTATGCGGTTTTCCGGATTTTGCTATAAGTAACGAGATATTGTAAGACGCCCGCAACCATCATCATTTCTTTGTGACGTCGAAGCGAACATTCTGTCCAGTGTAGGTCTCTTCTGAAATTTATCTTTGAGTGTTTGAAAGTATTTCAAATCTTTCTCTGTTTTATCAGGGTGGCATCTTCTCAGATGATCTTGCAGTTTAGATGGTTTCATAGCGTCATTGCCCAAAACTTTGTTGCATAAAAGGCACATAGGCGATTGTTTGTCCGGCAATGATGGAATGAAGCCAAATTTCAAATAATCAACACTGTACTGTCTACATTTCTTTTTATATTCGGACATGGCATCAGTCATCTGTGGGCAAAATTAAATTATTTAAATAAGACAGAAAATCCAGCAGCTGTATATTAAAAATATTTTTGATTTTTCCGAAAACATTCCATAATTCGAACATCTTCTTGCAACAATTAGCTCGAATTACGGAGATTGCACTGTAATTATATTACCAATTGCTAAAACTTTCAAAAAGAAACTATTGAGGAGTACTCGTCTAATTTTGCATGATTGAATATTTAACTACTAATAACTAAAGTCATGCTTGGCGTAATTTATCTATCTTTGGTAACTACGAGTACAAAACTAAAATTTAATAAAAAATAATGTTCTTACATTTCTCCAGCACTCTCAAACAAAATAATACTGACTCACTATAATTTGTGTGATATACTATCTGTTTATATTTTTTTAAATATCTTCTTAGCACTTTCCTTTTCAAGATTCAGGAAACGAATAAACGTATTTGTCCCACATTCGTATATATAGAGTGACGAATTGAACAAGTCAGTGCAAGGTAGCGAAGCTCTGAGACTGCGACTCTCAGGTTTTTACAAGTTCAAAATGTATTGCGACCACAAAGCGAATATCAACATCCTACAACTTACACAATTTTATAAACATATATAATAAATTTTTTACTTCATAGGTACTTTTATAAATAATGTATATGTTTTGATATTATAAGATAGTATGATGTAAGTAAATAGGTACTATCAGTGTATGTGTTGAGATCCACTATCGTGGACTCTCATATTCATTTGATGGACCCCCAACTTTTTTTTCGCTGACGTAGACCCCTTGCAGGTTGTCATAGACCCCTAGGGGTCGATATAGACCACTTTGGGAATCATTGCTCTAGATGATAAAGCTGTGTATATTAAACAATATGCAATTATTTTTAATGTGCTTATCTGTTACTGCATTTATTGCAAATACTACTACTACTTTTCGTTTGTTTGGAAAATTGAACAATGCATTATATTGAAGCCTTGAAAGAATAAACATAATTTCGTCAAATCTCTGCGTGTGTGTTATTATCCCCAGGAGCACGGAGAGCCTTGAACCCCAGAGATTTAAAATACAAGTCTCGAGCTTCTTCAATGTGAATGATTGCTTTATGTAGATTTTAATGGGGTATTTCCATTCCAGAAAGAATGGTAATTATTACCCAGCTAGGTCTATTGACAGATGTGGTTTTATAGTATTGGTTAAAGCTGATCGGTGGGCGATATCCGTATTTATATTGAAAAGCTTATAATAAAGTAAGGTTGTTTCACCTTTCCTGGATTACAGGTTACGTCTCGTGCTCCGAATGTTCCTACGACTCGGACACCTGCACCTGCGTGTCCGCGGACAAGTGCTACTGTTCTCTCGGCCACAAGAACTTCTACAAGAAGCAGAAGGGTGGTGATTGTCCGTGCGAAAACAATGTGACGTACTGTGACTGCGACACGGACTCCTGCACGGAGAGCAACAAGTGTTATTGTACGTGTGGACGGCGGAAGTCGGGAGTGTTTGAGGATCTGAAGAAGAGAGGGTTCATGCCGGAGAGTAAACAGAAACATAAGAAACTGTGTAAAAAGGTGAGTGATAACAGGAATTGTACGATTTCAAATAAGTCTAGCTTCATACTCCACCATAGATGCCCCCCCCCCTAACACTAAATGACAGCCATTCGCTTTCACAGCTCAGGCTTTTAACAGGGTAATATAGTAATTTGATAACAATCCAGGCGGCCATGACATGGTCCATGTTCTTGTTTTTCGGGCTGTGTGCGAGCTTGCATTGTCTTGGTGGAGGATGATTTTTCTTTCGGGGTTGATTTTTCGAAGCTCGGTGATGACTTTTGGCAAACAAATGGTGGTATACCAATCCGCAGTAACAGTTCTATGCCTTTTTAAGCGGAATTGTTGCCATATGACCCGCTTTTGACACAATTTCGCGACCATCTTTTTCGAAACACTTCAAGAACGGATGACTTTTGTTAGCTTTTCTTCACCTTGGAACACCCAAACAGCCGACTGTCGTTTATTTTCTGGTTCATAACAGTAAATCCTTGATGCATCACCACTAACAATGCTGTACACATTTTTTGAGTTTCCGGAATTGAAACGGTCAAGCGTTTTTTGACACCAATTAACCCTGGCTGTTTTCTGCTCTTGGCCCCAGGCTTGGAACAGCATAACGCTCAAGGTCAAGTACGGAATTCCCACCATAGGCGTATCACAATGTAGGCCATGAAGGGCTATAAAAGCCAATAAATTTCTCAGTATATTGGAGGTATACTATTATTAAGGTGACCATACGTCCCACTTTCGGACTCTGTCCTACTGTTCCTGACAAAAGCCTGGCGACATAAAAATGCCCCTCTTTTCGGTCGTGGTGTCCTCCAATAAAAAGCATGCAACCCCCCTCCCCTCCCCCGGGCTCTTCATACTTCTAATCATCGGCCATCAATTGTGCTTTCATTTTATGATTGTAAACAAAAATAGTAAAATGTGTGCCTTTTGTGGTAGGTACAAGACGCCAATATAGAAGTAATAAAACACAGTAAATACCTACTTAAAAAAATGTTTATTTGATGGTTTACAAAATATTTTATATGGAGATCAATCAATGTAAAACAAAATTTTCTGGACATTCTTAATAGGAAATGTGTCAACAAAAAATATACCTAACAATTGTAAATATGGGATATAACACCAGCACAAGTTATGTTAACAATAAGCAGTTGGCACGGATTTGAAAATGTGCAAAATATGAAAATGGATAAGCTGATAACATAGCAATTATACAGGGTGTCCGCAAAGTTGGGGTTTTCCTTTACACGACGTGTAGATCTTGAAAACATAAGCAATAAAATACCATATACACCAATGTCCGAGATAAAAGGCTCTGCAACATCAAAAATATCTGAATACCGTCCTGTAGCCGCCACCCGGGACATCACCGATTGGTACAAGGTCTCAACCCGACGGCAGAACTGGGTCGGGGTCAGTGTGTCAGGTCAGTATGCAACCTTCAACCGACGGTTACGGTCACGCGTGTAGAGGTAAACGAAACCATATAATCGATTGCGTTTCAAAAAAACAACAAGCACTAGAGAAGTGCAAGTATCAAAAACTAAAGTGTGGCAAACGCTGCGTGAAGAGGGGCTGTATCCGTTTCACGTCCAACGTGTACAAGCCCTTCAACCTAACGATTTTCCAGCAAGAGTGCGGTTTTGTGAGTGGTTGTTGCATCAACATGACAATAATCCGGACTTTTTGAAGTGCATATTGGTGACAGACGAATCTACGTTCACGCGTAATGGGGTGAATAACTTTCGCAACACTCATGTTTGGTCATTACGCAACATTTTGCCTTCCTTGTTTGCCTGCGTCTGCTCGGTAGCGCATCAGCTGATTTCATTTTCTGTTGGAGCGGTATGATTTCTGGCAGAGACGTACTTAGCCCTTCTCGTCAACTGGAGAGTGAGTACTTTTTCCTTTATTTTTTTTACTTGGTCGCCCTCGTTTCACTACACATTACTTTGTTATTTCAAGGGTAGTTTTTTCTGAAAAGGAAACCCCCAACTTTGCGGACACCCTGTATATAAACTATCCAAAACCCGCGACTTCGCTGGCATGGAAGTAGTGTAAAGTATAATAATAGTTACTTTGGCGCTGGACCTTTTCATTCAACATATCAATTCAATAATAAATTAATTTCAAATGTGTAATCACAGTAATAATTCATAAAGTATCTCACAGCCTAGGTGGCCTATGTAACGTTACTATACGTCCGAAATTTCGTGGGACAGTTGACTTTTCCCGTCCCGGTGCCCGCGAGAAACATCTGGGGACGCAAAATGGTCTCATTTTCTCAAGATTCCCTCCCCTCACCCCGCGCTTTGACCTGGGGGCTCAAGCCACATCGGACTCAGGTCCCGTACTTCCTGTGTGTCCATCTACATAGCGTAAGGTGGCCTTGGGCAGAATAATCTAAAAAACATTTTGTGAATGTATAAAATTCTTACCATTGAGAGGAAACAACTGGCCAAATGGGCCTTGGAACAGCACCAGGTTTTAGCCAAGTTCTTCCACTAGCATCAGCAGTGAAATCTTGATGCAAAAAATGATTTGAGCATATTCTAACCACTTTGTGGGATTGAGGTTGTAGCTCGGTAAGCTCCAAGAGAGACATCCATTTCTCTCTCTGCTTTTCATTTGAATGAAAATTAGAAATTCAAGTAAGATGCATCGTACGAACACTTGTGATAAACGATATATTTATACAAGCTCTTGGTTGATTTATGGCCACAGCAGTTTTTTTCCTTAGGTTTAAGAATGGTATGAAAATCTTTCTAAACACGTGTAAAAAATATAAAATACGGAGTGGATCGGGAAAATGACGCACTCCACGCCAATGAGTAGAATCGTAAACATAACCCTACCTGTGAAAAGATATCCATTCACTTCCTGCTTTCCCAGCCTCAACCTTACACAAAAAACACTTTTGTCTCACCATAATTCAATAAAAGTCTAAAGAACACTTAAAAACACAAGAAAATCAAACGTATAGCACACAAATAAAAGTGATTTTCACTCAAAATAAAAATGGCGACGAAAACACGGAACACGGAACACGCACAGATTCACAGGCGATGACTCACTCTTACTACAAGGCTACTACAACCAAGTGCAGCGTTGCCGTATATAAACGTTAATCAGAAATATGCAGAAAATACTCCGGTTTGTATTATACCTCGATTTGTATTAAAATTCGCGTATTCTTCACCGGTTCTATAAATTATTATAGGTATATGAGAATATACCTAAATTTCTTCTAGAAGAATCTTTCTGCAACAGAAATAGGTCATTTGGCTATACTACAACTATTTAAAAACTGTAATGACTCATACGCGTGATCAGAGCTCGATCCCGGCTTCCTTCCAGTACAGCCGTATAGCGTACGACATATGTCGTTTCTGTGGCTTTGCGGTGGTCAACAGCACAGACAGAGATGGAAATAATGGCTGATTGTTCTCCGCCGGTAGAACCAATGAAATCAAAGACGCGCCTCGACCGGCAGACTCATAGGCGTCGGCAACGCATTGGAACGTCTTTCGTTGAGCGATAGCATATTGTGTGTTTTTATAAGAATTGTTGTGTGATTGTTATTGTTGTGGTTTCTGTGGTTACTGTTTTGGGTTATACTTAACCATGGAGAGTACAAATGGCACGAGTGGAAGTACTGAAAGCCAGGGAACAAGAGACGGCTTCGTAAAGCACTGAAGAGGGACGCGAAAGAAATGGTGCTCAACGTGTTCAATTATCTGAACAGAACTATGTCGCAGGGAGATGCACTCGCGCGTTGTGAAACTATGACAGGCGTTCCAGAGTGGACCATTCGCAGGGTGGTGCATGAAAAGAAGAAAACTGGAGCTACTACTGATCCAAAGTTTAATTTGAAGGGACGAAAGGCCGTTAAATTGGATGACGATAGCAAAATGGCGTTAAGGCGAACCGTACATTCATTCTTCTTTAGGAATGAGATACCAACCCTCAAGGCTGTACATGCAGCGATCAAGGAAAATGAAAGTATACCCCAAATGAGCGTCGAGGTAATGAGGAAATCCCTGCACGATATTAATTTTCGTTACGAAACGCGTAATCGGAAGTCAGTATTGATAGAGAGACCTGAAATAGTCGCCTGGCGTCGAAAATACCTACGCGAAATGATTGAATATAGGCGACAAAGCAGAAAAATCTATTATTTGGACGAGACATGGGTAAATGCAGGTCACACAGTTAAAAAAACCTGGATAGACAAAAACGTAGTGAGTAACAGACAAGCAAGCATTGAAGGTTTGTCAACAGGTCTTCGTGGACCGTCAGGGAAAGGTCAAAGATTGATCGTAACTCATATTGGTAGCGATAGTGGCTTTTTAGAAGAGTGTGACTTGATTTTCGTCTCTAAGAAGGAGTTGATTACCATGACGAAATGAATGCCAGCTGCTTCGAGAGCTGGTTTCAAGGGGTGCTTCAGCGAGTTGAGCCCAACTCTGTGATCGTCATGGATAATGCTTCCTACCATAGTCGTCGAGCCGAACGTGTACCGACTATGGGATCTCGAAAAAGCGACATGCAGCAATGGTTGCGCGAAAAAGGAATCCCGTTTGACGATTCATGTGTGAAAGCGGAATTGTATGAAAAAATTAAACAGCACAAACCTGCGAACATTAGTTACGTGACTGATGAGATGGCCCGTCAATGTGGTGTCACTGTGCTGCGGTTACCGCCCTACCACTGTGAACTGAACCCAATAGAGCTCATCTGGGCTCAAGTGAAGGGTTATATTGCGCGCCATAACACAACCTTCAAATTACCAGACGTTAAGGTTTTACTTGAGACTTCCATACAGCTAGTAACGCCCGAAGCTTGGTAGAATTCTATCCGTCATGTTGTGAAGGAAGAAACAAAATGTGGCAGCTTGACCACCACATCGACACCATCATAGAGCCAGTTATAGTCAATTTCAACGAAGAAAGCGATAGCGACAGTTTATTACTGTCAGAAGTAAGTGGAAGCGACGATGAATAAAGGTAATTCCCAAATTTTTGACTTACACTATGTTTCAAACCACTCTTTATTAAGCATGTGACAAATCTAGTTCACCCATGTTAAACATTCATACCCCGCCTATGAACAGCCGACTACTGGTAGTTAAGTGATGTTCACGTGAACATCGATGAGTCATTACAGTTTTAGATAGTTATAGTATAGTTGTGGATACCATGGGGCCAATGTCAAACGACCGTGGGGCCAACTTTATTTGGCGACATCGCAAAAAGAGTGATTGTAGTAGGGGAGAACCTTTGTGAACATTCCAGGTCTATTTGGGTAAGACGTCATTGATCGGAGCTCGCGGAGTCCTTTATTCGCGTCCCTTTCATATACGAGAGCGCGTCAATAAGTCCGTCAATTTTTGAGGCAAACTGGTTTTTTGACAAAAGATCATTTTATTTCTCAAAATAGTTTTCTTTGAGCTTTAAACGCTTCGTCGAACGTTTCTTTAATTCATAAGGGCCAACTTGTGCCAAACAACGTGACGTGGCAAGTACAGAGACGCCATTTTTTTATAATCAATTTTCAACACAACTCAGTGTTCAACGCAGATAAGGATATTTTTTTCTATATTTGTCTACTACTCATATGCCAACAAACTTGTTCCGCCGTGTGATGCTGTCGCAAGAAAACAAGGCCTGCCCAGTAGTCTGTCCTTTTAGTGGAATAAACTTCAAAAGATCTCCTTTAATCGTAAAATCACTAAAAACAATCCTCATGAACACGGCCGTCTGAGAGGTGTCAACAACATCTTTAAATTCATCCAGCTGCAGTGAAAAATAAGCACAGTTATCGATGTAATTTCTTAACTGTAAGGTTTCTTCTTTTGTGTAATTATCTGGGACACCCGCTATGATGCTTCAGTTGCAGCCTTACTTTTCTCGATTGTTTTTAAAAACATTGTTGTCCAATTAACTGATTTTTTAATTGTTTAAGTTTTCCAGTTCTGGTTGCAGAACGTAATGAGAATGGTTTTTCAAAATTGGAATGTACAGTTTTTTAGTGCCTCTGGATATTCCCTTTTTTAGCAACGGAAACAGATGTATTGCATAACAAACCTACATTTTCACCTTAAACTTTTGTAAAGAAATATTGTTCTTCCCATTCCGAATGGAAATGGTATGTCTTCATCTTCTTACTACTGCTCATAACGTTTTCAATTGCAGGCCAACTCTAACCCAACCGCTGGACTTTGTGCCGTTGAGTTTTAATCTGAGCGCACCTTCGCCGCGCCTTGCGTATTTATTCCGTTCAAAGTAATCGAGATCGTTCTCGAACAGATCGCTCACCGCAGTGTTGCCGCTGCTTGTGTTCATTATGAGAATTTACAAAATTTACGGAAGCTTCTATGATTTTTACACCTTCTTAAAATATGTTGTGAGCCACCAGAATTCGAGATCGAGATCGTTCTCGACAGATCGCTCACCGCAGTGTTGCCGTTGCTTGTGTTCATTATGAGAATTTACAAAATTTACGGAAGCTTCTATGATTTTTACACCTTCTTAAAATATGTTGTGAGTCACCAGAATTCGAGATCGATATCGTTCTCGAACAGATCGCTCACCGCAGAGATGCCGCTACTTGTGTTCATTATGAGAATTTACGAAATTTACAGAAGCTTCTATGATTTTTACACCTTCTTAAAATATGTTGTGAGCCACCAAAATTGCGTTTGCGCTCGCGATTAACGGGTTGACGACCACTGACGTAGAACGATCTATTATTAGAACAGCATTTTGTAATTTCTATTGACCTTCACATTTACATATATCTTTTCTTTGGTAGGTATCGAACACGAAGAGTACACAAAGCTTGGAATACATACTAAACCCATCCGAAAGCTACTACGAGAAGCTGAAAAACAAGAACAAATATGGAACTCGAAACTCATTGCCGAGCTTGACAAACAGTACCAAAGTGGATTATGAGTTGCCGCACTTTGCAAACCAAGGCTTGAATAACCTGCAGAGCAGCATGGTTTACACAAGAAGGCGCAGCGAGCATGATTTGGGATCGAGGGTGTTTTCTGGAAAAGGCGGTGGTAGCGCCAATCTCAAAAAATCATGTGAGTCCTTCTGCATGTAAATCTAAATTATCTCTATGAACTTATGTGAATATCTGTAACTGATAGGAAATAGTTATTCCTACATAAAGAAGGCAAAGTAGGTGATATCGAGACCCCAAGCATACACTATACAATGTTTTTTAGATGTTTCATGATATGTAGATCACGAAAAATGTCACTTATTTCCGTCGTTCTGTCTGTTTGTCGTTCTGTCTGATAATTATATAACCACCTATAACATGAGAAGTATCGCTTGGATTTTGATGAAATTTCCACACAATGTTACTACTATGCCAAGCATGAGAAAGTTTTGCAGTTTTTGAAAATATGACTAATAGTGGTGTCGGAGATAGGAACAAAAACACGAAAAGAATAAAAATTGCGTAAACATCATTTTTTGATGTTTCAGAGGTTCCTAATTATTTTTTTTTCTGTTAGGTTGAAAGTTTTGGAGATGTAGGGGGTTGTAAATGTAACGTCTTTGGTATTAGTCAAAGACGTTCTATCATTAAGAAGCTTCTGAAGTGCTCATACAGGACAACTTGAGTTGCACGCCGATGTCAAGTATAAGTTGTCACTCTGACAAATATGATTGAAGGGCACTTATACGTAATGACAAAGTTTTCGGGACGGAGACACACAACTAAAAAACGTATGGCTTTGAACTTACCGAACAAACCTTCACACACAGGGGTAGGGTTCATGTGTGTGTATGAGGGAGTTGGCGGATGGAGATATACAGGGTGTTCCAGTTTATTGTTGCATAACTTTAAGATTCGATAGAACTTTTAAAATTAATGCATAAAGTCTATATAAACATGGGTCGAAAAATGCGTGGCTTCCGAAATACAGGGTGTTTAAATTTACTTTCTAAAATAGTTTTTTTTTTAAATATTTCGAACAATATTTGATGTATAACAGTGAAAATTGGTATACAAGGGTTTTTTGGTACGACAAAACGAACCATGGGCATAGTTTTACTGTAGCCGCTAGAGGGCGCTCTCTACTGTACCTGTAGTGTATTAAAATGACCGAAAAAATTTTCTTAGTGCAATTTTTGCTTTTTGAATAAAACAGCTGATTCTTCGCACTTTTCAACATAAAAAAGCTCTCTTGTGAATTTTCGTTATAGTTAGCCGTTTTTGAGATATTTCGATTTTGAAGGTTCGATGCATTTTTTATTATTAATGATAAAATAACGTTAAAAAGTCAGTATCTCGATAATTTTTAGAAGTAGGATGTGCCTGCAAATATATTTGAAATTGAAAGCAGAATAAGGTTAAACGTCAATTAGTTGACAGTTAGTTTTGTTGTCTGTTGAAACCTGAAACGTTTTTTTGCAATTGTGAATGCACGAAATTTAGTTTCTTTTACCTGTTTTTTTTTGTAAGTTTTATAAAAATGCCATTTTTATTCTCCAATCAAGAGTTAGCGGATATTCATTTTGTGTCTGGCTTTGTAAATGGAAACGCAGCAGAAGCAGCCAGAGAATACGCACGAAGATTTCCAAACAGACGACATCCAACTCGCTCAGTATTTGTAAGAGTGCATCGCCAAATAATTGAAAATGGTTTTGGAAATCTCCAAAGGGATCAAAACATAAATGTTCGTCAGCGCAGATTTACCCATATGATTCTGCGTGAGTTTGATAGAGATCCGACCACAAGTGTTAGGAGAGTTTCTGGTGCCTTGGGAATTTCAGCAAGCCATGTTCACCGTGTTCTTAGACGTCCTTACCATTTGCAACCTGTGCAAGGACTACAGCCAGGGGACGGAGAACGAAGAATCACATTTTATCAGTGGATTCTTGATAGAACTGATAATAATAGGGAGTTTTTAAGTAACGTTTTATGGACCGATGAGTCATGCTTCACTAGACGTGGAGTGGTAAATTTTCATAATCAACATATTTGGTCGCATGAAAATCCGCATGCAGTTCGGGTAAAGAAATTTTCAGCATGAATTTAGTGTGAACGTGTGGATTGGTATCTACCGTAATCGACTATTTGGACACTACCTTTTGCCTGCAAGGTTAAATGCTGCGACCTTCTTGGAATTTTTAAAGGCTGAACATGCAAATATGTGGGATGATGTTATGTTAGATTTAAGAAGATTGGCCTGGTTCCAACTTGACGGTTGTCCAGCTCATTATTCGAGAATAGTTAGAAACTGGCTGGACGAAAATTATCCAGAAAGATGGATCGGCCGTGGAGGACCAGTCGCCTGACCTCCACGATCCCCTGACCTAAATCCATTAGATTTCTTTGTGTGGGGATTTCTAAAAGAAAGAGTGTACCAGACTCCCGTAACCACAAGAGATATGCTAATAGACAGAATCAGGAATGCATGTGATGAAATAAGGCCTTATTTGAATAATGCTATACCACGTTCGATCATTCGTAGATGTGAATTGTGTATTGATCAATTGGGTTTACATTTCGAGCAACTATTTTAGATTTTGTATGTTTGTCCTAACTATCCAAGCATTTTAGTTGTAAATAATTAATCTAATTTGATAAAAATAATATTGGAAAATTACACAAATTAATATTTTGTTTTTTTGTGTTTATTTGGAGTTAGGAATTATTGCTGTGTTTAAAAACACAATCTAGACGATCATCTTAATTACTTGTGATGCCCAAATCGAAAATGTAAAAAAAAATATTATTTTCCCATAAATAATTAAAAATGCATCGAACCTTAAAAATCGAAATATCTCAAAAACGGCTAACTATAACGAAAACTCACAGGAGAGCTGTTTTATGTTGAAAAGTGCGAAGAATGAGTTTTTTTATTCAAAAAGCAAAAAATAGCACTAAGAAAAAAATTTTCGGTCATTTTAATACACTACAGGTACAGTAGAGAGCGCCCTCTAGCGGCTACAGTAAAACTATGCCCATGGTTCGTTTTGTCGTACAAAAAACCCTTGTTTACCAATTTTCACTGTTATACGTCAAATATTGTTCGAAATATTTAAAAAAAACTATTTTAGAAAGTAAATTTAAACACCCTGTATTTCTGAAGCGACGCATTTTTCGACCCATGTTTATATAGACTTTATACATTAATTTTAAAAGTTCTATCGAATCTTAAAGTTATGCAACAATAAACTGAAACAAACTGTATAAAGCGATACTGGTAGTCTTACTTTGATCCGTCAAGAACGGTGACAACTACAGGTTGTAAACTTTATGATAGTCATTGTTTAAATCTGTGATAGAGGGGATTAGAAGAAGCAAAAATGGTCGTATAACATGGGGGTCAAAACGGCTTCACCTGGTGTGTGAAAGTTTATAGAACGTATTAAAAAAATCCTACACAATTTTGATACATACATTGTTTTTCTTTTAAAACCCACACTGCACTTTTTTGTACTTAAAAAGGTGTTCAAAATAAGTCGTTACTTATTGACTACAAATCTTGGCCTGGAAAACTTAATGCCATTTATTTGTTAATTACCCAATTTAAAAACGTTTTAGATTAGATTATAAAAATGAATAAGATTGTGGTGATTGTGGTCGATATAAAGCACTTAACGTTGTAAACTATAAAGCCATTTAGACAAAAATCTATTGACTTTTGACCATGGGTCATATGAACTTTTTGACTTGTTTTGACACCCCCTCCCCCCCTATTACCCATTTCAATAATGACTACAACGTTTACACCCTGTATATCATCATCTAGTTAATGACATACTACGGTAGGATGTACAGAGCTAACCTACATGATGCCTCTTTTATTATTTCTAGCAAATCGTAAGATCCAAGCTACGACAATCCCAGCGGAAACCTGTCACGAAGCCTTGTCAGTAAAGAAATCCGCGGAAATAGCAGCCTTGTTCACGGACGTTAAGCTCAGTCAGACTACCGACATCACTCACTTGGCTCCCAATTTCGACGTGGCATCGGCCGTGGCTTCAAAGAATTCGTATAACAAGCTCTGCCAAGTCAAGTATACGAAACCTTCGAGGAATTCTTCCAGCAGAAGCGAAGATAGGCCGAACTATGTGCATCTACAGAAGAACCAGAGTGTGCTCTATTCAAAGGAGATGTTGGTGTCCAAAAGCAGGATATGCAATGCTAAGAATGGTCTTTATACGATCCAGAGTCAGTCTGATGAGTCTAGGAGGTCAAGCATGAGTGAGGGCAAGAAAATAAGGAGTAGTAGGGAATTTTTGGACTTTGATAATATGAGGAACGGAAATGATACGTTAGAGACTTCTTTGGGCTACTTACCTTGATTGTACATAAGTAACTGGGTAACCCACAAATGTGTGTAATAGACCCTAGGCAACAACTGTTGCCAAAACTGTGCAGGGTGATTAAAAACAGAATTTATATTGTGTCCTGTTCAGAGACGTATCTAAAGATGACGCCCACTGGAGCCCCGAACGTGTTTTTATGGCTCCAGAGCAGACTAGACAAAGTTTATATTCCCAAAACCAGTAAGCAGCGAGTTAGCTCTCTTCTGCCGCTACACCAACGGTCTTTGCTCCTCAGAGCTCTCCTCCATGATGACCTCGTGCGATGTGCCTGCCAGACAGACCCGCCTGACTTCGGCTTCCTATCCTAACCGTGTCGATTTTCGCACATCCAGAGCTGGCCGATAGGCGGTAGGTCTGCTACACGAACCCGCCAGACTTGTGCTGCACATTCTTTAGTCCCACTGTGTCGAGATTGTACTTCAAATTTTAGGTAGTTCAAAAACCAGTTCAATCAAAAATCTCACATCTTTTTAGCAAACGTGATTGAGGCCGTATCGTATCGTTCCTACAATTTATTGTTGGACGCCATCATGGCCTCCTTGATTTTCATAGTCTTTTCTGTCCTCTCCGGAAAGGTTGGGGTATTTATAGATTTCTACTGTTCCGTGTCAGCGTCAACGATCTACTATGGTAACGTTATGTTTTCTGTTTGAACTGTAGGAAATTTAAGGCTAATAAAACAGATGATATAAATCAAAAGCAAGAACAATTTGATCCAAATAGATATGTTATTTGTGACATAACCTCAAAATAGAGCACAAACACGAAAACTATGAAAATCAATGAGGCCATAAAGGCGTCCAACAATTGTTTTTTTTTATTTTTTTTTTATACTCCAACTACCACGAAGGCCTGAGGCCTAAGCACCCATTTTGTACCGTGGGGCTATGGGGGATACATGGAAAAGGGGGACGCCACACGGACTCTGGCGAGGGAACACGTGTGCATGCAACATGCACACATTCTGGCTCCGCCTACGAGAACCGCCGGGTGGTACCAGGAACGACTGACGATACGGTCTTTAGGTTTCTGTCGGCTGGTTGTTTCAGCATAAAAAACACTTCCAGAAAAATTCCTTAATTGGGCCAATCAGCTATAATGCCGTAGAAAAAAAATGTTTTATATGTTTGATAGTTTGAACGTAATGGCAGCACAAAAACTTCCTTCAAAAATTCGTAAGAAGATCGCTGTCGACAATGTGATTTATAAACAAATCCTCCGATTAAGCGCCGTCCGTGTTACTTTCATTTGATCGCGAAAAATGTTTTTTCAGTCACTATACCGAGACATGCGATTCAAAACGAGCCTACCTATACCCTATTTCACAAGTATCCACGCTTTGACCGCAGAGTACTATGAGAGACGACACTGTCAAAAAACAGGTTCTATCAACGCCAACTTGAGTTCTATGCGTTTGTTGGGATTCCTGTTGCTGTGACATTTAGGGGTTATCCGTGGAATGTTTTGACACGTGACCACAATCTGGCTGAATGCATTTGGGGAAATAATAAACACAAATTTCTTCATAATAATCAAATTCAAGTGGATAACCAAATGGAAATGGTATTTACCATTTTCGGTTGGTATTTACCGATCCGTTCAAGCGAGTGTAGTTATCAGTTTGGTTATAAGATCCGTGACGTCACGAATCAGCTGTTATATGTCATAGTTATCACCGCAAAATTGTGGTATTTACCCAACTCAAGAGTAGTTTTATATTTCTGGTTATTATTTGAAATGTGACAAGTTAGAATTTTGCCGGGTATTGGAAACTGTTATTGTACTTCAGCTTCATTTTTGAGAAAATTGATACAGGCTGACTTCAGTTTTACCATAAAGTGGAGCACCTTATTAGTTATACTCATTACGGTTGTTGGGGACACTCTAAATGTAGTTCCTATGCTTAACAAAGTATCCTGTGTAGCCATATACCACAAGAATATTAAAATATGGCCATATAAAGTCACTAGATGATATCCACCTGTATACGGTTTTTCTAATTTCTTTTTTCATCATTTCTGCTGAATCAATAAATGTTTTCTTTGACATGCGGAAAAATTTAGAGAATTGAAAGTTATCATAGCTACAAAGCCATGGTTCCATCATTAAAAAAAACTGAAAGAAACATTTCTCCCATGAATATTATGAAAGGTTTCTTATTTAAACCTTCCACACACAGTTGTAGACGAAAAAGCACCGATTATTAAGTGATAATATAAATAATCAGATTATATACGCGCTTTTCTAAAATAAACAACTTGCAACAAAACTGCGGTTAAAACCAACGCGTTCAAGCGATTCGTGTAACTGACGTCATCAACCCGTGTGTCATCTTGAACCATATTATAACCGCGGCACATAACACAGAAATTTTGGTTATTCGCTTGGATTTGATTTTAGTCTGCAACGTTGACAATAATGAATCGGGAGTAAATCTAGTAAAACCTGTTTATAGCGTTTCGTTCTTTGTATGCGAATGAACTTTTCTAATTAAAAGAGCATAAAATGAATCTGTAGCATACAAAAAACCGGTTCTGCCTAGTGGGACGTTGACGGATCCCTAAGAATGATGTGTCCTGTGCCGATATGTGGAATTTTGAGATATTGCTAGATAATCAGCTGTCATTCTACCGTAATGGATACTCGTGGAATAGGGTATAGCAACATATCGTAGAGCTTCACGAACAAATTTGACAAAATCTGGCTTTCAGATATTTATTCTAAATAACTTGATATGTGCAGCTCAGCGGGCTTCAGACCCAAAGTTCCCCCCGAATTAGACTTTGTTCAAAGGATGTTGGGCATACTCTCCACTTCACAAGTATTTCTTGAACCTCCTTGTTGTAACATCAATAGACTTATTAAGAAGTATTAGTGTGAATTGTGCGAATTCATATGGGTCTGCAAGGATATTGGATAAGAAACTTAGGACATACTTTTCAGATGTTAAGGGTGTTAGTACGATATACATTTATAACAGTTCGATTTAATATTTTCATCTGACAGAAATTTATTAACAAGATTTTTATTTAGCATCTTGGTTACGCCGTACAAAATACCCGGTAGGTCCTAAGTTTCTTTGTGGGATGGTGGGATTTGATGTAATATGGGATTTAATTTTAAGATATACTTTATAATACTTTGAAATCTCTCGTGCAATATATTACAGTGATATTTTGAAATAATGGTGCAATATTATTTCTAGTTAACGTTTTTCGTTTTCTCTGTTATATTTATAATGTTATGCGGATTTAAAATTTTATAATTTTTAAGTAAATGATGATAGTATATTATTGATATTTATGTGCAATGATAGTAAAATAAAGGATAAAACAAATGACGCTGTCTGTTTTTTTCTCAATTAGAGAAAGAATTTCATCGAAGTGTGCAACAGTGCGATGTAGACGTATATGAACGCGTACCTTTTGGTAATTTTTGTTCTAACGTCTAGCGATAAAGTGCGATTAGTGCATATATTTTCTGGGCATTATGTTTAAGCCCTGTAGCCGGTCGTCGATAAAATTTTGTACATATTTAGGGCGTAACAAGCGTTTGTTCCGTGGCAGGCAGGGCTTCGCACTTGTGCTCCAATTTTACGCCGCCATAAACGCATACTTATTGACCTGGACATATAATTAACTATTATTTATATCGGCTCCGTTTACCTGCGACTAGGTATTCGTTTTTGAGAGGTCAAATGTCATGTACGACGCAAGCCAAACATGGCGGCCTATCTGTCAGAAATTATTCTGACATAACCTAAGTTAACGGCTAGATGAATTATGACATTGTGGTTTATTTTTGCAATAAATATTCAAAACAATCATATCAGATAACAGAATCTAATATTCAAATCAAGTCCCCATTAAGGTAACGTGAATTACGGTTGGATATAACATAACCTAAGCAAGATACGATGTCTAGGGCCGCTCCGAACATGCACGTGCAACCAGACAGCTCTGTAGTTGAGCGGAGACTCAGGCCTATTTATGGTAAGATTCCCTTATATCATTCATACTTCCGATTGATAAGTATTGACTATTTGATAGGTGGAAATTTGTATAAGGTTATGTAGCAATTTGCCTTTTTTATTTTTAGATTGGCTGGACATTGGAAACAACAAAAAGGCATTACAAGAATGCGACAAGGTTTTGAAAAAGACGCCAAATTTGCATTGCGCAAAAGCCTTGAAAGCACTAACTTTGAATCGAATGGGAAAAGAATATGACAGCCAAGATATACTAGAGGCACTTGTAAAGGAAAACCCCACTGATGATGCAACATTGCAAGCAATAACTTTATGTTACCGGGAGATGCAAGAGTGTGAGTATCAAAATATATATAAGTGTATATTTGAAAAAGGAGAGAGCAGCAAAACGCATTTGCATGCAGTGTCCCTTTCCATAATGATCCTAGCCCTTATAGGATAAGGGTCTATGGGTTCTCATACAATAAAGGACTTGGGATCTCTTGATAGTAAACATAATGAAGAAACAGGAGATTTCCCTTAGAATTATTTCATCGAACACCATATAAATTTTTATGTTTTGCATTTTCTTGTACACCAGAATATTTTTTGTAAAATCTGAATTTTCAAAACAGTGGTCTGTAATATAGTTTTCCATTGACAAATTGACCTTTTTTTAATTTTTCATTGAAAATTAACATAGATATACACAAAGAATAAATTCATATTGCTTAATCCAACTAGAATCTGTTGATGAAAGTTTTTGTTTGTTTGTTTGTTGGAGATTTATTTAGCATTAATGCTACAATGTCAATTTTGTATAATGATTCTGTTACATATTTTTCTTCAATCCATTTTCTGTAATTTTACATTCTTGTCTATTAAAATTAAAATTATGTCACTATGCATTTTGATTATTCATAAAGTGATTTTTTAATTTTACCTTAAACATTTTTAAATTTGAACTCTGTCTAATATCATTATTCAGGTTATTAAATTCAAATACTCCCGTTTGAAATATATATTTACTAGTTATGCAATTATTACAATTTTGCAGATGAAAATCTATACTGCCTCTAGTTTCGTAGCTATGATAATGACTTTTTAATTTCTCTAAATGTGGTGGTAATAAGTGATTTTTTTATTTGAATATGAAAACAGAGAACTAAATAATATATGAAATTTTTCACATCCAACCACTGCAGTTCTTCTAACATAGCCTATGTATTTTTTATTTTGTAGAATTTGTAATTTTGAAAATATGTTTTCATTTGCTGTAAACAAGATGGTTGAACAATATAAGAAATGGGGAAGAATTATAGTTTTATACACAATTTTTTTGGAATATATACTAAGATTATGGGAAACTATAGAAGTAATTATCTTTTTCGAAATTTTTGAATAATGTATTCATAATGAAACAGTAGCTCACTATCCACATATATACCAAGATATTTAAATGACTCGACACTTTTTTTCATCATTAATCATGAGAATAATTGTATTGTCACCTAAATGTTTCCCTATTGACATACATTTTGTTTATTAGTGTTTAATTTAAGTTTATTGACATTTAACCAATTCATAATTTTTTCAATATCACTATTTAACAGTTCTAAAGCAGTGTGTGCTTATGTGCTATATATAAGTGTATTGTTCGCAAATATTTGAATTTTGCAGTGTTCTAAAATGTCAGAGATATCATTTATATAAATAATAAATAGTAGCGGCCCTAATTTACTCCCTTGTGGCACCCCTACTGATATATTTTGAACACTTGACATACTATTTCCACATTTAGTTTTTTTACTTCTATTTACGAAATAAGTGTATGTAAAAACTTACCCAGTTAATAATTCAAAAGTTAATTGTGCCATCTTGAAAGACTGATTGGCACCTGTTTCTGATCTCCATGCTTGCCACTTGTATAGTACTATTATATTAGTATTGCTAGCCTGCTTTATGGCTGTGAATGCCAGTTACAGAAAAATGGCTTAGGCCATAGAAGCCATTTATGCCATCCACAAGGGGCCATCTCTGAAGCAGTTAAAATCATAGTGCAAGTATTTTAACATCTAGGCAACACACATAGCTACTACAGGTGAATATACAGTGGCAATTATGGCAATCAGATCAGTACTCCTATCTTTTTGCACTTACATATTAAAGGTACAAATCTAGCATTAGTTTAATCCTGGTACAGAGCACTAGTCAGTTGATATACTGTCACTATAATCAGCCCAGGAGCCATTGGAATATTAAATCTGGAAATATTTTGGAGACATTATACTGTGTGTATTTTGGAAATGAGACATCTTTCAGCATATCTTCAGATGAAGCTTTTTGTTATAATTCCAACGAAAATCACCTCCCTAGAATAATTTCTTTGGACTAAAATGTATCTTTCTATATCTCAAAATGGACAACACTTCACCTTTTAACAGACCTCTATCATGAAGCAATTATAAGGAGAAAAGTAAACCCATTTAAAAATCGATTTTGTTGTGTTTTTCCAGTGGAAAAAGTTTGCAAGTTGTATGAAACTGCAGTGAAATCGGATCCGAGAAACGAAGAACTACATACTCACCTATTTATGTCATATGTTCGAATTTCTGATTTTAAATCACAACAGCAAAGTGCTATGTCTCTATATAAACTCAAGCCTAAGAATCCATATTACTGTTGGGCTATCATGAGTATTATTTTGCAGGTGTGTATTATCTGTCGATTGATATCATAATAGTTTAATTGAAATTACGTTTTTTCATTCATTAGGCTACGAGAGGTGAAGGTTCCACTGATCCAAAGAAAAGAATGTTGCTGTTAAGTCTGGCAGAGAGGATGTTCTCAAAAATGATCACTGACAATAAAATTGATGCAGAACAAGAAGTACAACTATATATTATGATTCTTGAACTCCTAGAGAAGTATGAAGAGATTCTTGCAGTCATAGATAGCCCTTTAGGTAGTAAGCTGCAAAGCACTAATATTCCTCAGACAAAATTGAAATATCTGAAGGCATTGAAAAAGTGGAATGAAGTTAACTTAGTTTGTAAGGACATTCTCATTGACAGGTACGTTAACTTTTTATTCCATGCCCATGTCAGACTTACTGTTGTTGCTGGAGTAACATTTTAAATTCTATGTTTGAAATAGTTGATTGCCTTCAATGGAAAAAGGTCTCTATTCACACTGTAACTAATATTGCATTTGACATGTTAGTTGTTTCATTTATACTGGTTTTACAAACATTTCATGGTACTTTTGATTATTGTGTTTTCAAGTTGAGTGTGTTTATAAAACAACTTATTTCCAAACATATTTTTTCTAGCATAGACAGATGGGACATCTGGAGAGACTACATAAATTCTGTATTTGAGCTCATGGGAACCACAACAAGCGACATAATTGTGAATGATGAATGTGATGATAATACTGATGCAAAAGGTGATAGTTTGGAGACAATTGATGATACGCCAGAAAAAGCTCATGAATTTATATGCAGAATTGTGGAAAATGGTACTGAAAATGGTAAGTTGTGGATCCTCAGAAAGTAAAATGGTATATTGAATAAACGCAAAAACGTGTTGCCATATACGAGGGATGTCTTTTAAGTTTTGCATATAGAAACATAGTAGGCCACGCAGATCGAACGTCAGTACTGAATCTTAACCTCACTCTTTAGTAAACTTAAATTCAAAGTTTCACAACAATACATGCACTGTTCTCACTACAGTGAATTTTTAAGTGTCACCAAGTCATTAGAAAAATGGAACTCAACCGAGAACATTTTCGCGACATAATTTATTACAACTTTCAGAGACAATTACCGCAACAAGAATGCCTTGCTGAATTACTGTCTGTTTTCGGCAACGAAGGGCCACATCAGTCGACAATTTCCCTTTCGTGTCGAGAATTCAAACGTGGACGGGTGAGTCTTAGCGACGATCCCAGGGTGGGTGCACCAAAAACGGCAGTCACCCAGGAAAACGTCGATGCTGTGTGCAAACTCATCATTGAAGATAGGCATGTGACATATCGCGAGATTGAGGCGGCCTTGAAGATCTCAAAGACCTTAATTCAAAAAATTTTACATGAAGAATTATGAGTAAGAAAATTAGTTTCTCGTTGGATACCCCACCTGTTGACTGAAGAGCAGAAAGCAGTCAGGGTTAATTGGTGTCAAAAAAATGCTTGACCGTCTCAATTCCGGAAACTCAAAAAATGTGTACAGCATTGTTAGAGGTGATAAATCGTGGATTTACTGTTATGAACCAGAAAATAAACGACAGTCGGCTGTTTGGGTGTTCCAAGGTGAAGAAAAGTCATCCGTTGACGAAGTGTTTCGAAAAAGATGGTCGCGACATTTGTGTCAAAAGCGGGTCATAATGCAACAATTCCTCTTAATGAGCAAAAAACTGTTACTGCGGATTGGTATACCACCATTTGTTTGCCAAAAGTCATCACCGAGCTTCGAAAAATCGACCCCAAAAGAAGAATCATCCTCCACCAAGACAATGCAAGCGAGCACACAGCCCAAAGAACAAGGCAGTATTTAACGGAAGAAAACGTGGAATTATTGGACCATCCTCCATAGAGTCCCGATCTAAGTCCTAACGATTAATTTACTTTCCCGAAAATTAAAAACAGACTGCTTAGTATATACTTCGTAAAACAATAAAGTCATTTAAAACTACCTACCGTGTTGTTTTATTTCCATATGCAAAACTTTAAAGACAGCTAGGAAAGCAAGTATGTCAATTATACAGGGTCTGGCATAAAGGACGGATGTTTTTGAAATGGCTAGAACTCTCCACCTATTACATTATTAAATACACGTGTAAGGGTGAGGTTGATATTCTTTTTTTTATTTTCAGGATATTTACTGCGAGGGCCGTACCTGGCTCGTTTCGAATTATGCTCCAGACTGTCAGAGAAAGATATGTGTTCGGCTGATCTCCTTGGAGAAACTATAGAACTTTTCATAGAATATTTTCGCAAGTTTGGTCACAAACCTTGTTGCGTTTCGGATCTCAGAGTATACTTGAATTTATTGAATGATATAAAGAAAGCTGAACTAGCTACTAGATTGATAAAAGATGTCGGAATTAGCTCTACGACAATTCCACAGTCGGTAAGTGTGTCAGCACGAGCATGTCATTATTAATCGAGAAGCAGTAATTGCGAGTACTGCTGGGGGTTGCATGTTCCGTAAGGTATTTTTTTTCGTTTTGATTTGCAGGAACACCAAATGCAACGTCACATCTGCGCGTTGCAGCTGGCCCGGCTGTGCGGCAGTCACAGAAATCTTCCAGCCGATCATCTCAAAGCATTAGTGACTGCTCTGTCACTCCACTATCAACATGGGTACCAAGCATATGGAAAAAACCTGCTACCCACAGACCTGGGCGCTTCCGATCCATATGCTCTAATAGCAGCTCATATTCTTCACGATCTGGCTCAAACTCAGAACAATTCGGAGTTCATCATACTCGCCCTGATGCTTTTGGATAGCTTGCTGAAGAATTCGCCAAGCAATTTTCATGCGAAGTTGTTGGCGATTCGTCTGTACCATCTTGTGGGAGGCGGAATATGCGCTCACGACATGTACAACAGCTTAGACGTCAAACATCTGCAACTGGATTCGCTAGGTTATATACATTGTGCTAGGTTACCGACGACAGGACTGTTTACCCTATGTACAAATCTTTTTGATACAACATTGAAGTTCTTCGCTTCGAACTATAAGGATAGCTCCGAATACTTGACGTTTTCGTACAAATTCGGCTCGTTCATAAAGATGAACGAATTTTTAGATTTTAGGGAAAGGCTGAACAACAGCTTACACTACACGACAGTAGCTGTCGATAAAATCGTGCTGAGCTTAGTCGAATGTATGTCTCTAGAGACTTTATATACTTTAAGTATACCTCCGAAAGAATACAATGTCGAATGGGAATTGTTAAGAGACAATCATGATTTGAATGTGTATATGTCATGGGACCCTGAACGGATCGAATCGGCGCCAGAAGACTGGAAAGATACGAAGCAACTATTTAAACAAAACATTCTTTTTTTGAAGTTGAGGAATTTCGCAATTCAGACTGTAGCTATTATCGTGGATATTTCTTTATCGACCGATGGCACTCGACTGAAACACCTAGAGATTTTGAAAAATACTGTGGCTGATTGGAAGATTTTATTCGAGAAAGCCGTGTCTGAAAACTTGGCTCCTATAAGTGAGGTGAGTATTTTAAATAATAATAATAATTGAGCTCACAAAAAACTGCTGACGCATATAACGAACCCCCTGATAAAACGAACCTAAATGTTTTATATATTCGTGAAATTTTTCGGTTATAACGAGCGTAAAACTGGATTTTACCAGAATCAGGTACCCTAAATGTTACGACCGCGTGGTGGGGTATGAGCAATCGTCAGCGTCTGCTGCCAGTCCGCCACCGCCATTTAGTCTGATACCTTCTTTATTCGTTGTATTCAGTGTCCTGCACTCTTGAAATCAGGGGTGACGCAATTTCTAAGAAAACACATAAAGCTTTTGCTTTAAATAGTAAATTCGATATCGTTAAAAGATTGCAAGGAGGTGTGAAGCAAAGTGAAGTTTGTTCTGAAATGGAATTAAGTAAATCACAATAACATGTCCTAAACATACATAAATAAGCACAGGTTGGTACAATTTGGAAAAATAAAGACAAAATACTGGAGTTGTTTGGGAAAGGCCAAAACATAAGTGTGAAGAAAATTAAAAAGCCCACGAATTATAAAGTTGATCTGGGACTTCTGAAATGGTTTTCTCAACAGAGAAATAAAAAAGTAACCATAAGTGGTGCTATACTGCAATCGAAGGCTGAAGACCTTGGGAAGAAGTTATTGAAATATGAAGAACTGAATGAAGAACCTTAATTTAGTAGAAGCTGGATCGAAAGATTCAAAAGACGACATAACATTACCTGTGGAAAAATTGTTGGAGAGTCTGCTGCAGTTGATATGGACTGTGTGAATAACGGGTTGCGGAACAAGTGGCCAATCATTAGAAGGAACTTCAAAGACGAGGACATATTCAATGCAGATGAAACTGGGTTATTCTATAAGCTTACACCTGACAGGACCTTAAGATTCAAAGGCGAGAAGTGTGAGGGTGGGAAGCTACCTAAAGAAAGAATCACTGTGCTTGTAGTGACAAATCTAACAGGTACAGAAAAAAGAAAGCTATTGGTAATTGGAAGATCGAGACCCCCTCGACGTTTTAAAAACATTCCACAGTTGCCAGTTAATTACAAATCCAATAAAAGAGCATGGATGACCTCAGAGATTTTTGATGCTGAACCGCATAATTGGGATGTTGAGTTACGCCGCGAAAGACGAAAAATTATATTATTAGTGGACACTTGTCTAGCTCATCCATATGTTAAAAATTTGGACTGTATTAACCTAGTGTTCATACCCCCAAACACGAGTTCTAAACTACAGCCTATGGATCAGGGTGTAATCCCCAGTTTAAAAAGCGATTCTCGTCAAGTTCTTCTCTCGAGAATGGTAGATTTTCTTGATAGTGGTGGGGGGGGGGAAATTTTACAATCAATCTTTTGGATGCAATAAACATCAGTCATATGGCATGGCAGAAGGTATCAAAAGAAACAATTGTAAATTGTTTTACGCAAGGGGGGTTCTTGGATGTTGAGGATCATTTTGATCCCGACGATGACCTGCCATTAGTTGAGTGGATGAAGAAAATTCAACAGGAAGACGATCCTCGAGACAATATTAGACCAATCTTCCTTATAGTGAAAACGATTTCATTGAGTTTGTTCATATTGATGACCAAGTTGTGACGAATACCTGGATGATGATGCCATTGTAGTTGCTATATCTTCGGCAGTTGTTACTGATGATGACGAAGAGAAGGAAAACAAAGATAAAGAATCGGTCAGTATGGAAGTGGTACCAACTCCAACCACATCAGAAGCACTTCGACATATTGACAGCGTTCGTCATTTCCTTCAGTCAGGAAATACTCCGCAGCGTGTGCTAAATCGACTAGCTGAAGCGGAATTACATATTAATGATATTCATTTCACAAAAATAAACCAAACTAAAATAAATTATTTTTAAAGAAAAAATTTCAAAAACTTTTATAAATGTGCATTATAGATATTATTATACTATTACAAGCATTTTATATACCCCTGGTTGAATAATAAACTAATGAAAAATATTTTCTGGTATTAGCATTATTTATCGTTTATTACGAACTTCGCTTATAGCGAATCAGTTTCGCCTGTCCCTTGAGGTTCGTTATAAGCGGACAGTACTGTATACTTAAGCTTCAGCTAAACATAGTGGTTGGATATATTCGAATATATTAACTGATGATACAATCTATTTCCGCTATTAAAAGAGCAGTGTTGTTGCGGTGGCACTGATGTGAATTTCAATAAAAATATTTTATTTTCCAGAGCTTAATTCCGCTACCACTCCCGTCGAGGTTACATGGCGCTCTAAGCGTACCTTATTTAGCAGTATTCAGTTCTTTTTATGACCTACTAATAAAATTATGCGAAGAACCCGAAGATGCTTCAAAAAGTACAAAAAAGGTCACGGATTCGCTAGACGAACTGACGAGATGTCTAGATGAAAATACTTTAAAGAAACCTAATAACCTATTGGATAAGAGGAAATCCATGGAAACGGCAGTTAATTGTGTAGAGGTAACGTTTCTGCAAATGGATGTTTCTCTGGCTTATGTTATTATTTCATACTTGGGAGAAGGGTTTTCCCAAAATTCATGCGAGATTTGATTTGAATCGAGGACACAGTTTTTGTATTACTTGTTAAACATGGAATAGCACACCACTCGAATGGTGTCCTTGGCTATGCTTGCGCACATATACGAAGTTTGTCCGAAAAATACTTATACAAAATTCGGGGCGTCGTGTCAAAGTGTTTTGGAGAACGGTGGTTCCCCCTCTCTAGGCAATAATCGCCTCTATGCTCAGTTCGAACCGGAGGACTCTGTGAGTAGGTAGGATTTACGTGTGCTTGTTGAAAGTTACCTTTTTTTACCTGCCGTCGGCATGGATCGACACCAACATCATCCATTACAGAAACACTTGAAATGAAAGAATTGTGCGGGAAAATCGCTCTTGACTCCAGAACAGAAAGCAAGGAGGGTTGCTTCCGGTGAGGATTGGTTGGAAGCAGAGGAAAGAGGGACTTTCTCAACCGGGTCATCACTGGAGATGAGTCTTGGTTCTACGAATTCGAAGTGGAGCTTACACCTCAAAGCATGGAGTGGAAGCAAGCAGGGGAACCGAGAACAAAAAAGTCGAACAAATCAAGGTCCAATGTGAAAACAATGTTGATCGTTTTCTTTGATTCTCGGGGTATTGGAATTGGAATTTGTCCCTCTCGGCCAGAGAGTGAACGGACATTTCTACATGGAAGTTTTACGTTGTTTCAGAGCTCGTGTGGCCCGAGTTTGACCGAATTTGGCACAAGGGGGCAAGAGAATCCTTCATTAAGACAACGCGCCTGCTCACACGTCTCGTGCGTTTTAGGCCCGAAGCTCAATCACCCGATTTAGCCACTTGCGACTTCTTCATGTTCCCAAAAAGCAAAATGGTGGTTCGGAGGCGACACTTGGCTGATGTGGAAGCCATCAAGGCAGGAGCGACACGGCAAATGAAGAGCATCACAATTCAAGACTTTCTGCGATCGTATCAACAGTGCACCTTGTCTCGGGGGGGAGGACGTTGAAGGAAAATTATTGTTCCATTTTTATACGTATTTTTCGAACTAACCTCGTACCGGAAAATAATCTGAAGAGAACTGAATCGGTTATTTCAAAAAACAAGTTAATTTTTTTCAATTTGATTTAACCTGTTTTATTTATAACTGAAATCTCACCTTTAATTGCAGGTAATAAGTATAGCATCGGTAATATGCATTGTGTGTAACGAACTGGTGAAAGTCCCCCACGGAAAAAAAACCAAGAAAAAATCGTCGGGCGATTCAAAGAATCGGGAAAGTGTCGTAGTGGTAGCAGAAAAACTGAAACATGTATTAAATAATTTTTGTGATGTTTTACAGCAGTGGACAGACTCGGTAACGATCGAAGATCTCAGCCAGCGGTTGGAAGCTTTACACTTAAGTACTAGCCAAAATATTGTTGATAACATCTTACATAGCTACACAATCGCCAATAAGGAACTGCAATTGATACTGAAGACTAAAGTCAAAATGTTGTCGAATATAAGTAGGTAAAATTTATTAAATCTTTGTTTTTATTAAGTTTCTACAATTGTTTGTATGTATTGTACATTGAATCAAAATCTTTTTAGAAGTTGTCGTTTTACTATATTTAATCCAGATCTAACCTCGTAATATTGAATACAAGATTGATACTTGAGTCTGTCTTAAATATCAGGGGGCGTACAAGGGAAAGAGTTCTACTCTAGCGGGGAAATACTAGGTGCTTCCCAGTAAATTTCCCTTTTCGAACGCGCCCTTAATAATGGTGGGGGAAGTAGAGCTGGTAATTTGCGGCGACTACGTCCGGATGGCCAGTAAACATGAAGCAGTGGTTGAACGAGCAACGTGCGCTTATGGTCGAGGCGTTTCTAAATACAGCAGACGGTCGATAACGTAAACACGAGATAATGAAAACTTGCGCTAATGTAAACACAAACTTCGTTCTTTAGGATCAAACGGAACGCGCGATAACGTAAACAATGTGTACGCTCGATAACGTAAACAACTCTCGGCGCACGGAAACAGCGCGACGGTAAAATGCTGAAGCCTCGATGATTTATGTCGGGCGTCTGGGAGTCCCCGATTTATGATGTAGAGTGTAGGGGATTCACCTCTGCGATAAAATACGACAAACTCGGTCAGTCGTATGATCGTTTAGGATACGTTTATACGTACGTATGTATTTCATTTTTGAACTTAAGTGAATACATTGCACGCGTTAATATATTTTACGACTATGGCGTCCACATCCTATAAAAGAAAGTGTTTAAAGTTGAGTGAGAAAGTGAAAATCATAGACGAAGTTGCACTAGGTGCGGGAGTGACACAGTTAGCAAAAAAATATGGAGTATCGAAAGCAACAATCTGTAAAATAAAGCGTATGAAAACTCAAATTTTATAAAGAACGTGCAATACATTTGGAGGTCCGGGAAAAAGAAAAATTTAAAAAATGCGAAGGCACCTAAAATGGAAAATTCCCTGTATAAGTGGTTTTTAAAACAACGGGAAAATCATGTCCCAGTTAGTGGCGAAGTACTTAAACAGAGAGCCAGACTGTTAAATGAAAAACTGAAAGAAACTGAAAATTTCGTAGCTAGTGATGGCTGGCTACAACGATTCAAAACAAGATATGGAATTCGACTGCTGTCTTATATCTGGTGAAAAATTATCTGCACAACCACAATTCGTGCAACCATTCAAAGAAAAATTGATGAAAACAATTACCGAGCTAGATTTAAGAATGGAACAAATTTACAACGCAGATGAAAGTGGCCTTTATTGGAAAATGTTACCAGAGAAAACCTATGCTGCATCATTTGAAAAATCTGCCCCGGGAAGAAAGCCGGAGAAACAACGAATAACGTTTCTAGCCTGCACTAATGCTAATGGTTCACACAAAATAAAGCCACTGATAATTGGGAAAGCAAAAAAACCGCGCTCATTTAAAAATGTCCCTGTTGATTATGACTGTTCAAAAACCGCTTGGATGACTAGCAGTATATTCCTGAAATGGTTCCACAGGTGCTTTGTCCCTCAGGTATGACAATCAATTATCACAAATGCTCTATTCATAATTTGAAGGTGTGTTTTCAACTTGTAGGTAAAAGGTTCCCTAAAACAACAGAAGCTTCCAATAAAAGCGGTGGTGCTATTGGATAATGCACCAAGTCATCCTTCCGAGCAACAACTGAGTAGCAGGGATGGGTCAATTTTCATCATATACATGCCGCCCAACGTAACACCGTTAATTCAACCGATGGACCAGAATATAATAAGGCTCACCAAACTATACTATAGGAAGTTTCTACTTTCGTCTGTCTTATCAAAGAATCCTGAAAACTTATCTGAGGCTTTAAAAAAGTAACATTACGAGAAGCTGTTTTAGATTTACGTATGGCCTGGAATGAACTTTAACAGCAAACGATTCAAAAATGTTGGAACAATCTCTTTTGTACCAATAATAATAATAATAATAATAATAATATTTATTTACTCTAAAATACAGGGAACATGAAACGAGTAAATAAATATAATATATCCATAGGAGGACAACGCCTGTGCATGGATCATATGTATGTTGAATTGCAAAATATAATAAAATAGAGAGAAAAAAGAAATTATTGGTAAGAATGGTAGAGCATTTATTGTGTAATATTTGAGATTATTTTATTAATTTGATTTCTCCCAATCGTGTTAATAAATTTTTTCATTTTTTTTTGAAGCCTAATGTATTGCGTAATTGTTTTAAATTATTTGGTAAATGTTCGTACAATTTTGGAGCTATATACAGGTGACATCGTTTCATTAGGGATTTGTTTGGTTTAGGAACATTTTTTGCGCGTAATTTATATCTGGTTTTATGATTATGTTTAATTATGTCGTGTTCACTAATAGTTTTGTGATAATGAGTGATGGTATGTAAGAAGTAAAGTTGTTTAGTATCATATACTTGTGCATCATTATATAAGTCATTAGTTGGGTATAATTTTGATTTGCCTAACATTGATTTTAAAATTCTTCTTTGAAGTACATCTAAATCGTTAAAGTATGTCGTGCATGCAGCACCCCACACTACTATACCATATGTTATGTGTGGCTCGACTAAAGCTTGATATATTATTCGTAGATAATATTCAGTTAATATACCGGTTAGAAATTTTATTTTATATGCTATGAATCTAATTTTCTTTAGTATGTGAGAAATATGTACATCCCATCTCAAGTGGGGATCTAGATAAATTCCTAAATATTTTGTATCAACAACTCTATTGATTTTTATATTTTTATTATTTACCTTAAACCGAAGGTGGTTATATTTTGGTAGATGATTAGATAGCGATGAAAATGGTAAATAATGAGTTTTAGTAAAGTTAATTGTTAATTTTCGGTAATTAAACCACTGAATAATTTTGCAAAAGTCATTTTGGATAATATCTTTTAAGTCGTTCCAATCCTTACCTTTATAGAGTATAGCAGTATCGTCTGCAAAACTGACTATTTTACCAGTATTGTTGATTTTGAATATATCGTTTAAATAAATATTGAATAACAGAGGACCCAAAATTGTACCTTGTGGAACACCACATTTAACAAACATTTCTTTACTATACGAGCTTAATAATTTTACTGATTAATAATAATGAAGATGATGAAGAAGACGATGTCCCCTTAAGCGTAATTAGAGAACGTTTGCGATCCAATAATGATAATGTTATTAATGTGTCATTGGATGTTGTTGATTTATTGAAAACAGTGAATCCCAACATTGTTTGTACTCCTGCTGATATTAATTTATGGAACGACGATAAGCAGACGAATGATGCTGATAAGGAGGAGGATATGGACAGTGAGGATGATGAGAACGATCCTATTGAAGTCAGAAGTGTAGTGACTGACGCGCAAGCTATACAAGTTTTTAACCAAGCTTTAGATTGGAAGACAATGCTAAGCGCAAATTTACGCAGACAAAAAATAATTATTTTTCTTCTAATTAAAAAAATACTTATCGCTGTTAGAATATTTGTTTATTTTGTTATAAATAGTATGTATTAAACGTTTCTTTTAATAAATCAAATATTATATAAATCACGTTCGCTAATGTAAACATTTCGATAATGTGAACCACACTTGGATTAAATTAGTTTACATTATCGAGCGTCTGCTGTATAACGATTCCTATGTCGCGGGACGGCGAGTTTTTTGCAACCGTTACGATATTCGGCGTGTACGTGATGCTCCGTCGAAAAATTTAGTCCTTGCATACTTCGGCGGATCCAGGATTTGTGTCTGGGGAGGGGGGTCACACTGTTCAAAAAACTTCATGTTCAGGAAGATGTTCTTCTCAGCGGATCCACAACTTACCATTTTCCACAATTCTGCATATAAATCCATGAGCTTTTTCTGGCGTATCATCAATTGTCTCCAAACTATCACTTTTTGCATCAGTATTGTCATCACATTCATCATTATGAAGGACGCTGAGAGGGAAGGCCTCGAACGTCAGTAACATTACTACTGTGAGGAAAATTCCTCGACGAAGACTGGAGAGTGACATACCAACAGATAGAGGATACCTTACACCTTCATGCTTACACCGCATAGTCTGACGGAAGAGCAGAAGACTCGTCGTACGACTTGGTGCCGAAAGATGCTGAAACTTGCAATCTCGGTATGCCTAAAGTCATAGAGTCTATGAAAAACCTACTGCCTTCGGTATCCGCCGGGTGGTACCTCCATGCTCGACGAAAAAAGATAAAAATCACTAAAACTTCGATTTTTTGCGTTTCAGAAGATCCTGATTAAAGTCTCGATAAAAATACTAATATACTTTTATATATTTATTATAAATTTTGATTCCACATAACATTACCACAGAATATTACCGTCTACAGCTTTATACATCAAAAGTATGAAAATAATATTAAATTGTTATTTACACAGTAATAATTTACACGAGAACTTTTATAATTAAATAGGTAACATGAATGCGGACTACTGGCACATGAATACACTTCAATAAATAAACCTGACGTTACTAACTGTATCACATAAAATTAAAATTAACACATTTGCACTTACGTCGAGCTAGCAAGAGTGCAGTACTCCATTTTGCCTAAAAATAGTGTTTTAGCAGTCACCAATACCGCATACGTAAACGTTACCCTTATTTGACATTTGTTACACATGGATCAAAATGTCAGATAATATTTACGTCTGCTGTATTTTCAATAGCCAAAACTATCTCTAATGTTATGACACCAAAAATATTTCTTAAAAGTACATGTCTACGTACCTTGTGCCTTAATGCACCTACTTATCTGTATGGCATAAAAACATCAGTAATATCTTTACAAATAATCTAAAGTTGCGTTTAGTCGTATAAATATCATGATTAAGGAGCCTTTATTTTATACAGGGTGATACACAAGTCGCGACCAAAAATGAAACATCATACACAGGACCGCATTTTAGTATAAAAATCGTACGCCACTGTTTTTATTTCGAAACGCGCAATTTTTCGAATTTTTCCTTGAATATGCTACAAATGATTACTATTGTGTCTATTCCTAGAGCGCACTGTTTTCGTAAAAAAAAGCAGTGGCGTACTATTTTTGTTTGGAAATAATGCCGCTAATCCTCCGTATATCCGCTACTGATGCATGTTAATTTCAGGTAAAGACCTTTAAATGTGGACAACACTTAGGTAAATCCACATACCAAATTTTAGTTCATTCCAGTTGACGGTTTTGAAGATATAAAAAAAAATTATTCTTAAACTTCAACGCCCCGTACCTTTTCAATGAAGGCCTCGTGGAAAAATGTTACATAGAAGTCCCCCCTCAAAATGCGGTCCTGTGTATGATGTTTCATTTTTGGTCACGACTTGTGAATCACCCTGTATAATCACATTTTGAGGATTCACAATGTCACCATTGTGATGCTGGTCTTATTTTATATTATTTGACTCTTTTCTCTAAGTTGAGATATCGAAGACAATAAAATTACTGCTGTAAATCTCATTGATTAAACGACATCTTTGCAGAATCTTGTGGTTATAAAGTTATGGTCACTATATTGCCTGGATTTTCCAAAAAGAGAATCAATCATCCTGTAGAAATGTTAAAGCAAATTGTATTTGCAAAAAATGATGACAATGTGATTTAATTCCAACATATTGATTAAAATGCCGATCTCAACAAAAATATCTATGAAGTTCCTGTAATCTTTTCTCAAAACCTCTCATAAAATACACTTAACTTTATAAGCGTATTGTTGATAAATATGTTATTTAACGCCTTTAAATTATTTGCAAGAACTAAGTAGTTTACGATGTAGTTAAAAATTCTATTAGATACTAACTCTAAAATTTTGACTTCTATGTCAAACAAAATACTGTTTGAATAAAAACAGAGTTAATAATAGTAATAGCAAATTGATGACATGTTACTGTTGCTGACAAAGGTATAAATATTACTATTACTGTTGCCTAAAGACTTCCCTTTTATGCTAGATCTATACAAAATTAATCTCAATGACTTCGTAAGTATTCTCTTTCTATCCTTTTCAATTCCTTAATTGGTTTCCTGAGAGTTGTCTGGATCCAGTCAGTGTCAGGTCTGACAAAACCAGCGATTTGTCCTTCTTGCTTACAGCCCGTGTCCCAAGTGTAGATTCCTGCGAATTCGTAGTGACCTTGGTCGTTCTCACAGGCTAAAGCGCTTCCATAGTCCACCTGTAAGGGTATGTCACATTAGAAGTGTTACACCCAGAAAAAATAATTTCTGCTACTTTATTTTTTTGGCAATGAGGTGGTCTTATATCAAGAATGAAACGATAACATCCTCACGAAATTTTATTGACAGGAATTAATAATGTGTTGGGCGACCCCGCAGCTAGATACACTCCTGTATACGTCTAGGCACTGTGCTACCTCCTGTTGGAAAACCGTTCTTGAGTACAGGGTGCGCCATCTTTTATGTCGGTATGTAAACATGAAATAACTTTGAAAACGAAAAACTGATTTCTATATATTGGGTATTTTTATTAAATATGGTTCTTGGGACTAATTTTTGAACACAACATCTATCAAGTGGCCAAAACAAGCTGTGCCCGTTTTGCTGCGTTTTCCTTTACTTTTTCGAGCGTCTCTGGTGGTATAGCGGCGATTGCGATACGAATGTTTGCCTTGAGTTCTTCAGTGGTCTGGGTCTTGCTGGCGTACACTTGACTTTTTAAATAACCCCACAAGAAGTCCGGTGGGGTCAAATCTGGAGGCCTGAGTGGCCAGTCAATGTCACCTCTTTTTGACATCAGACCTACAGGGAATTTTCGTTGCAGAAACTGGATTGTTTCATTTGCAATGTGGCAGGGCAGGGTCTTGTTGAAACCAGTAACCATCAAGACCTTTTTCACGCATTTGTGGGACAGACATAATGAGCCAACATCCACCGATATCGATTTCCATCGAGTGTTTCGTTTTCGTTGAAGAACAATGGTCCAATGATGGTTTTGGCGCAAACGCCGGCCCAAACAGTCACTTTCCGTTCATGCCACGGCATTTCTTGGATCAAAAGGTTGATTCTCACTATACATTCCGTAACCGTTCCGTAAATTATTGAAATTAAATATTCGCCTTCGCTTAAAGCAGGCTATTGCGCGTGTATTATCCGTAAGGTATACTGTGTATACAATCAGATTGTACGGAACGTTTACGAAACTGATATGGAATGGAAACGGAATGTATAGTGAGAATTACCCTTTATGTGGATTTTCCTTCCCACAAACGCGGCAGTTTTGCTTATTAACGCCGCCAGAGAGCGCGAAATGGGCCTCGTCGGTCATCAGAATTTGCTTCCAAAAATCAGGTGCAGCATCAACTATGCGAGCGACTGTTTGGGCATATTCCAAGCGACGTGGACGGTCAGTTGGCAATATTTTTTTGTGTTAACTGCACCTTATAAGGAAACAAATGCAAATCATCCTTCAAAATGCGCCGCAACGTTATAGTTAAAAAATTTCTAGGAAAGTTTATTAGGGGAATAACAAGTGATTGAAATGATTCTGTTAAGAATTATCCGTTAGGGGAGGTAACGAGCATAATTTGGAGTCAGGAGCTTATATTTATAATTAATTTAGTGAGATAAATTAGTTTGTATGGCTTCTACAGGGTGACTTTGAAGTTGAGTCATTAATTTTCAGATAATGATTGTAGAAGGAAGATAAACCAAAATATGTGTGTAAAAATAAAAAAAATTAAACAAATAATTTACCTTGTTTTATACCGACAAGTATTTCAGTGCGGACCTGCATTTGATCGTGAGGTCTTGGAGCACCGGCATGCCGTCCATATGTGAGGTCTTAAGTCAAATGATTCACGAACCCGTTGTACTACATTAACAAAGGCACGAGGGGTTGGTTGCACTCGATTGGGAAACCGATCCGCATAAACATGTGCCATTTTTTATTTCGTTTGAGCCACGCAACAGACACCACTATCCACTACCGACTGACACTGACTGTATACAACTGAATGAAATAATTGTAAAAACATCGTTCCAAATTCTTTCGCTTTTTTGTTTCCGATGCGATGAACCGATAAGGCGAATTATATCCGTTGTCGCCAAACACGAGCACATAATATTATTATTGAGACAGGGCGGTACTCAAACTTCCAAAGGGCTATAACTTTGTTACTTTAATTTTACCAGAAAAATGGTAAAGGAAAAAAACATTTCTTTTGATCAGATCTACTTACTGTTAAAATAAATGACTCAACTTCGAAGTCACCCTGTATAGAGATAGCTAAGATAGTTATGTTTATCTAAATTTCTTAGCAGCCATTAATTAAAATTATAATTATTGACGATCTCCCACTGTCCCGAACTCAAGAAAATTCGGAACCAATCGACGGATAGTGCTGTCAGACGGTGCCCGTTTGCCACGATATTTTCGACGATATGCACGTAGCGTTAACACAACTGAACGACGATTTTCAACGCACATTGTGACTATTTCGGCGCGTTGTTTCGGTGTAAAGCCGTTCATTGTTAAAATTGTAGTAAATTGACGTTTCAGAAACACGTGTAACCAAATCACTCGGTTGGTAAATATCAAAGACATTCGATATTTCAATACCGACATAAAAGATGGCGCAACCGGTATTATTTTTCCATTGTAGCTAGCAAAGACACAATTCGAAAAAATCACGCCGACATTCATAAAGACAGTACTTTAATATCTAGCTCTAGAAATTTTTTGGTAAGTACTCACCTTGCACTGGTCTATATTCGATTGTCCACAGATCATGTTTGGCGAGTAGTTTGGTAGAGATTCCTTGAATGTATCTGAGAGTTGCTCCTGGCACTTTTGACTGTCCATAACGTTTACGTCGATGTGGTGCATGATGGCTCCTCTCGCGTGCACTAAAAAATGAATTAATAATAATTCGCTTTATTGGTTAATCAAAAGGTGGAGTTTACATTGTTTCCTCTTCCACTCAACCTTACAAAGATACAGAAAAAATGGTACAAATAGAATAATGTAAATAGTAAGTATGAGTTCAATGTTTCACTGAATCAATTAAGGGATAAAAACTGAATACAGGGTGTTCCTTAATGTACGCGAATATTTAAGGGTATGAATCTACATGAACAATTAATGTTAGTTTGCTTTATAAACTATGGACCAAATTAATTAATATTTTCAGAACCTCTTCAGATGTTTCACTGATATTTAGTACGTAATGAAAGTTAATAAAGTCGCATATTTTTCACTGCAAAAATAATTTTTAGCTTAACAGTGGCGTGCGTACGGGTATTGACTTTGATATTTTTTAAGAAAAAAATGGTACGCCAATAGTTTTTTGCCAAATAAAAATTATTTTTGAATTTCCCGTTCAATTTAAAATAAATGATCTCTCTTGAATTGGTTTCCTTCGATGCGCCATTTTTGAGTAAAAAAATAAAAACCGTTCTATAGTCCAAATTAAACACATTAGATGTAATGAACAACAACTGACAACATAAACATAATATTAAAACCAACGAAATGATTACAAAAATAGTTGAAACTAGCCCCCATCACTTAGCATGCATGCTTCCGCCCTCCTTCTCATGGAATTGCGCACTCGTTGAAATATCCCTGGAGTGTTTTTTCTTCTATCACAAACTGCAATCATTCTTTCTCTTAATTCCTCTACAGTGTTAATGGGACTTGTGTACACTAGTGTCTTAAGAAAGCCCCACAAAATGAAATCTAAACTGTTGAGGTCTGGGGACCTTGGTGGTCATTCTTGGGGCCCAGCGCGGCCAATCCAACGATTTGGATAAACAGTTTGTAAATAATTGCGAACCGCTACACTGAGATGCGCTGGTGCACCATCATGCATTCGAGAAAAATTAGCTTCGTCAGTGAACAGTGATTCAAATTGCGGATTTTGTATAAGTTTTTGAAGATACCACTGACAAAAGGTCACACGCCTTGGAAAAGCAATGGGAAGTAATGCCTGTACTCTTAAAATATGGTATGGACATAACAAAAAATCCACTAAAATTCTCCGAACAATTTGATGGCAAATACTCGTATTTAAGTGTCTAGCGATCTTCCTCGTTGTCGTTTCAGGATGTTCTTCGACTTCGTGCAGCACTACTTTCTCAATTTCAGGTGTTCTCACACTACCTTCAGATGTTCCTTTTCGGACAGAACCAGTTTCAACAAGACGACGATGAATATTAGAGAAGGCTCAACTATCTGGCAAAGCACGATCGGGATATCTCTGGAGCTAAATCCGTCTGGCTTGCTCACCATTACCGTCCACAAGGCGGTATACGTAATGCAGTGACATATTCCAGAGCAACTAGATATTTATTGCTAAATTGCATTCTTCAATATTATTACATTAATTTTCTCGGAAAATAGAACGAATTTTATTTTTTTACTCAAAAATGACGCATCGAAGGAAAGCAACTCAAGAGAGATCATTTATTTTAAATTGAACGGGGAATTCAAAAATAATTTTTATATCGCAAAAAACCATTGGCGTACCATTTTTTTCTTAAAAAATATCGAAGTCAATACCCCTACGCACGCCACTGTTAAAGCTAAGAATTCTTTTTCAACTGAAAAATATGCAACTTTATTAACTTTTACTACGTACTAAATATCAGTGAAATATCTGAAGCGGTTCTGAAAATATTAATTAGTTTCCATTTTTTTCTTTAAACTTCAACACCCCGAGTTTTTGTAAGGAAACATTTTTGGACCATAGTTTATAAAGCAAACTAACATTAATTTTTCATGTAGATTCACACCCTGAAATATTTGCATATCATTAAGGAACACCCTGTATGTACATAATACCATTTCATTTTTGCTGTTTTTAAAAAATATAAGATTCAATTGTCTTCTTAAATGGGAGTTACCTCAGTCCCAAAAACGCCTGAGGGATGTTGTTATATTCCTTAGCTATTTGATAGCAAAAAGTCCTTTCATATAATACAGTAGTTTTATGCGTAGCAAGAGTGATGAGAACTTTGAATCCAATATGTGAACTTCTGATCGAGATTTATTTTTTCATACAGGCACGTAGGTCTCTTTTGTGTAATGATTGTATGACATAAGGTAATCGCAGAAATTTTGAATCTGTTTCTCATATTGATCCATTTAATTTCTAAATTTTTTTCCGAAATGTGAAAATGCGCTAATATGGCATGAATAAATCTAACACAAGAGTTTTGAACAATTTGAGTTTTTATGCGAGTTTCTACGCCCAAACTGCTATGGAATGGAGGTGGAAGGTACGAGAACTGTGGCAGTACAAGACTTTCACATAATTTTTTTTAGCGTCATAATTTAAATACTTGCGATGATGATACAGGATCTTGAGTGACGAATAGGCATTTTTTATATCCATAAGCACCCGTTTTCGGAAACGAAATTTTGAATCGAGTATTAACCCAAGGTTATTTCCTCCTTCTAATGATTTAACGTTGTCAATTGTGTCGCTGGAATTATTTGTAATTCGGGCCAAACAAAAGAAGAGTGGACTCTTTCCGATTAAATAATAATGTTTTAATATACACAGTGTACATCGTCAATTTTAAACTTGTAGTATAATTTTGTATCGTCAGCGTACATACGGATTTTGCAATGATGGACACAGCAGTGTCTCTGGCCCAGTGTGCGACGGCTTCATCACCGAGTGCCTTGTTTTTTCAAAAGCTGAGAATACAGTAAACGTTCACTTTAATTTAAAGAAAAAATTATTCCACTTACATTGCAAAATCCTCTTTCCCCATCCTGTCAATTTACACTTGCTATTAGGCGATATTTCCGTGGTCTGCGACAGACACAAAGGCCCTATATTCGTGGTGAATCGCAGTTTTTCTCTCAAGACCAAAATTGCGACGTCGTTGTGATAAGAGCCAGGCTTGTACTCGGGGTGTCGTATGATAGCTCCAACTTTGACGATTTGGAAAGGTAAAGGTTCTTCGTCGATTCCAAGTTTCCATTCGCCACCTTTTGCTAGAACGTCGTTGGTATCCAATCTGAAATAAAATAGAGTATCCATTTTAGAGATTCAGTACATTAGTATGTCGAGTAAATCAAGGGTACTCATTAGAAATCCTTTGGATTGTCTTCCCCTGTTTCAGGGGCGGCTGGACCTTAAGTTCTGCAGAGCTGCAGAACTGCCAAAACTTTTGTCTTGACAGAAAAAAGCAGTAGTAACTTTTTCATCATGTCATGCCTCATATCGACATCTTGTTCAACCAGTTGCAGAAGAGAAAAACCGAGCCAGCACAAGTTAAAACGGCTATCGATAATTTTGAAAAATGTATTTTCGATGTGAGAGATAAAATTGATGACATAATAAATGAACCCCAAGGCAACAAAAGGAGACGACGTAATAATAGCAGTCACGATCACCGAGTTGCTGCATTAGAAGTATGCGACAATATAGTGAATTCTGCAAATGACAGATTTCAATTCAAAGATCATTTGGTAGCCGCATCTCTCTTTTTCCCCGAACACTTTGGAGAATACTGTGGTAAGTTTCCTGATGACAAGTTGGAAACTACCTGCTTGTCTTATACCGAAAAAAGTCGTTCAAAGACAGAGTTGTCTGTTATTTATTGTTATAACTCTTATGTCAACATCAGAGGCTGAGCGAAGTTTCTCAACATTGAAAAGAATCAAGACCTTTCTTCGAAATACTATGACTCAGGATCGCCTTACAGCGTTGTCGATGCTGTCCATTGAAAAGGGATTTATTTCGACCATGGCAAATTTCAACGGGAAGGTGATCGACAAATTTCCTGCCAAGAAAAAGCGCAGGATCGAACACATATAAAAAATAGTTGAGTTTGGATTTGCAGAACAACTGTTTTATTTTGCCACGAGCTGCCACTACCCTGTTTCCAGGCAAGGCAACCGACGATAACCATTATAAAAATTCCTACATAGAGAATTTGATGTAACACCAATCGCGGATCCAGGGGTCATGACCCTTCCCCCTGGAACAATCTAGTTCGACCACTAATATTTATGACTTTCGAGTCTTTTGATAAATTTAATAAAATGAAAACTTGTGCAAACCTGTAAGGGATATAAATGCGCAAAAATCACCAGATTTGCTGAAAAAATACAACATCTGGCAACCCTGATCTATTTGTAAGCGCATCGATGATGGTGTGGAAATAAGAGGGTTGCGTAAGGCTGGTTGCATATAGGTTCAGCTTGACGCAAATTTAAATAAAATAGTAATTCTTAATTTTTTGGCATGTCCGTTAGTGCATTATTGCAAATTGAACCTCACGTTTTCTGTGATTAAGGTAGTTAATTGAAAATCCGGACACTCGAACAGGAATATAAGGAAAAACCTTTTTGCGCCGTAAGATTTTAATAAAAATTGTTTTTGGCGGATAAAATTCAAGAAAAGCGGATTCATTTGATTGAAAGAAAGCATCATAGTTACCTAACCGTAAGACTAAAACATAAACATTAACATATATACTACTGGATATTTTTGTCACTTTTTATTTGTAACTTGATGGTTTTGTTTTAGTTTAGTCATGTACAAGATGTTTTCCAAAAGTGAGGCAAGAATTGAGTGGGTGAGTCTTGGGACTATTCTGAATCTATCGTATTTGATCTCGATGTGCGAAACACCTCGTGAATATAAATAGGTTTTTCTTAAATAATTTTTACATATCCTCGTTTAAGTTTTAACCTTCTTTCAAAACCCCACTGAACATGAATTCGCTGACCCCCTCCGCTGACAAATATTGGATCCACCTTTGACCACACTTTTATTGCATAGTATTTAGACAGTCTTCAGCACCATTTTTTTGCTTTGAGTACGATAGCTTTCGCTCTCTGGCCCTGACACTAAAATATTATTTGTTACCAACAACTTTGTCATCAACATTTGATTTTGCTTTACTATTATGTTCCATATTTCTTCTATAATTTTGTTTTACTTACCCTTCCACACAATGTGCCGATGTCAGGATAGCATTGTCCCTGATGATGACACCTCCACATAGCAAGCTTCTGTTTGAATCACGCAGAATCATGGCTTGCCATGGGTATTCAGCGAAGTTAGCATCTAGGGGTGACTCTCCTTTTGGACTTGTATCCTGTAGAAACAAGAACGAATTATTATTGGCGAAAACCATCATTTTGAAGCAAAATAATTTGGACGCGCAAGAATATTATAAGAATAATCGTTTTCGAAAAGCAGAAGTCCAAATATATACAGGGTGACCGCAAAGTTGGGTTTTTCCTTTACACGACGTGTAGATCTTGAAAACATAAGCAATTTTTCTTAGTACCATATACACCAATGTCTTAAGGGAACCGAGATAAAGGGCTCTGCAACATCAAAAATATCTGAATACCGTCCTGTAGCCGCGACATCCCCGACTGGTACTAGGACACTAGCTCAACCCGACGTCAGAACTGGGTCGGGGTCAGTGTGTCAGGTCATTATGCAACCTTCAACCGACGGTTACGGTCACGCGTCTAGAGGTAATCGCGTAGACGAGAATCCCTCAACAAGCACTAGAGACGTGGCTAGAGAAGTGCAAGTATCAAAAACTAAAGTGTGGCAAACGCTGCGTGAAGAGGGGCTGTATCCGTTTCACGTCCAACGTGTACAAGCCCTTCAACCTGACGATTTTCCAGCAAGAGTGCGGTTTTGTGAGTGGTTGTTGCATCAACATGACAATAATCCGGACTTTTTGAAGTGCATATTGGTGACAGGCGAATCTACGTTCACGCGTAATGGGGTGAATAACTTTCGCAACACTCATGTTCTCACATTTTCAACAAACATTTTCGGTGAATGTTTGGGCTGGCATGGTGCGTCTGCTCGGTAGCGCATCAGCTTTTTCCTTTATTTTTTTTTACTTGGTCGCCCTCGTTTCACTACACATTACCTTTGTTATTTCAAGGGTAGTTGTTTCTGAAAAGGAAAACCCCAACTTTGCGGACGCCCTGCATATATAACTTGAGACGTATTCATTGTCGTTTAGACCAGTTAGGTGTAAAATAAAGCTTATGCCTTTTTTTGGGTACTTCGTCAAAATTCAAGCAGAGAGGACTCTTTATACTTTATTGATTTCTAGCTTTCAATGAACTTTGCCATCTTCATCCGGAGCTGTGATAACATTGAGAAGAAATAGCAACTATTGTGCAAAATTATTTTAAATTAACTTAAAATCGTATGTGAGGTTATTGCTAAATGCTATTTCTTCTCAATGTTATTACAGCTCCTGATGAAGATGAAAAAGTCCATTGAAAGCTAGAGATCAATAAAGTATAAAGAGTCCTCTCTGCTTGAATTTTGTCGAAGTACCCAAAAAAAGACGTAGGCTCTATTTTTCACCTATACATACATATATATCAATTTTGCACAATTATTAATTTCCGAACTCACCAAATTCCTATGTCCGCACTTGGCGCCACTGCTCCTTGCCTCTTCTATCCTAGACCTCCTCAGTGCAGGTGGAACACCTGGGCCCCCAGTCAAGTTTGAGGCACGAGTCAGTCTGTTGTTGCTGACCAACTCTCTTTGTCCGTAGAAGTTGTCTTCTTTGTATTGACCGTCATCCACGCCGTTGACCAAGTTCGCCGACGGCCAAGGGTCCTTGTAGTTCGGATCTCTGCAGCATTTGCCGATAATGCCCGTTTCGATGTCTTTGCAAGTCTGGAAAATCAATTCTTTGGCATTAATATTCCGCCTAAACAATGAAAGAAGCGGCCGGTGGTTCAAAATTTGCATGCACAGTCCTTACAGTGTATAGCACGGAGTGAGGCGCCGTTTGCGATCAATTATACTGGACAACAAATTTTAGTTTTTTAATTGTATCTTGTGGGAAAAGTGCACTTCTTTGTTAATTTTGGGGCGCTGAATCCAAAAATGACAATGAAATAAAAAAATTAGTTGCGGTTTAGAAAAAAAACTTTTTATTTTTAAGGATATATTAAAAAAAGTAACAAGATTCATATACTTATAAGAATCACTATATGCGCTGTCTTTTTGCTGTTCTTTTATGGATCGTTTCTGGAGCATCTCTACCAAGAGTCCAATAGTAGCCTGCAAGCATGGAAGGATTCCACTTTCCCTGGTACCTTTTTTCTATTGTTGAAATATCCTGATGAAAACGTTTGCCGTGCTCATCAGAGACATATTACAGCCCATCTTTTGATACGATGACAGCATATTTTTGACAATGGTTTTATAGTTGTCAGCTTTTCTATTTCCCAAGAAATTAGTGACCACCAGACGGAAAACATTCCAAGCAGTTTTTTCAATACCTGTTAAAGTGTTTTCAAACTGTGTATCTTTCAAAATATTTCGAAACTGTGGCCCAACAAAAATACCTTCCTTAACCTTTGCCTCACTTAGTCTTGGAAATTTCTGACGCGGGTATTGAAAAGCTGACCCATCTCTATCTAATGCCTTGACAAAGTTTTTCATTAGGCCCAACTTGATATGCAGTGGCGGTAATAAAATTTTTTTTGAATCTACTAAAGGCATATGCTGAACATTTTTTTGACCTGGCTCTAGGAATTGACGAACAGGCCAGTTTTGTCTGGTGTAATGAAGTGCCTTTGCCCGACTGTCCCATTCACACAAAAAACAGCAAAACTTTGTGTAGCCTAGCTGCAGCCCAAGTAAAAGTGCAACAACTTTCAAATCGCCACAAATATGCCATTGGTGCTCATCGTATTTTATGCATGTCAATAGGTACTTCATATTGTCATATGATTCTTTCATGTGAACTGCATACCCTACAGGAAGAGATGGTAAAATATTTCCAATATGCAATAACACTGCCGTTAAACTCAATGTTGAACTGTCTATAAACAATCTCCATTCTTCTGGGTTATAGTTTATATTTAAAGCCGCCAGTAAGCCGTTAATGTTACTGCAGAAAACCAAGTTATTCTCCATATTGAAAAATGGTTCTAAGTCTTTGTGGCGTTTACGAAAAACACATACCGAAACATCGTCTTCTAACAAGTTCCACTGCTGCAGTCTTGATCCAAGTAACTCTGCCTTACATTTTGGAAGTTCTAAATCTCTTACAAGATCATTTAATTCTGACTGTTATTTTGTGCGGTTGGTGGCATGACGTGCTCGGTATAAAATCAGGATCTCTTGACGTAGATGGCATATCTTCTTCCTGACGAATCACTCGATCGCCATGATCTGATTCGTTTTCTGATTCGCAAGCGTAGGATTCTGGGGGTTTTGGAATAGGATTTTCGTCACTGTGAGGCACAGGTCTCATCGCAGATGGTATGTTTGGGTAGTTAATAACCGATTTTTTTTTCTTGGACATACCTGTGGCTTGTCCAACACAAGGTACCATGCAAAAGTAACAATCATTAATATGATTTGTAGGCTCTCTCCAAACCATTGGGACAGCAAAGCGCATAGACCGTTTTTTGCCATTTAACCAGCTCCTCAGACTTGAAGCACATGTATTACAGCAGATGTGGGGTGCCCACTGTTTGTCTTGATCACCTAGTTTACAACCGAAATAAAGTTGATACGCCTTTGTTATTAGTGGAGTAATAGATCGTCTCTGAGACGCAAAAGTCACATCACCACACACGCAACAAAACTGATCTGGATTGTTTACACACTTTCGAGACATCTTACATGAACGCTGTCAGCCAACTGAGGAAAAAATGGCTAATATAAAACAATATAATGTACACGTATGTATAACGTAACACAATCATGCCGATTACATCATCTTTCCTTGCCGAATATAAAAATGTAGCACGTGCATTCTTGTGAATTACAGTATATTAACACTGTCACAGCAGGAACACATACGTATATAATTACCGTATCTCTAAAACTTGAACTAATATTGAAAAAATAAGTTTCATTCCGGTTTTAGCACATTAAAAATAGTAATATTTTGTTGATTTTATTTAGGATATTTTTTGGCTGTTGATCAGTGATACAGGGTGTAAACGTTATGATAGTCATTATTTAAATGGGTGATAGAGGTGGTTAAAAGAAGCGAAAAGTTTCATATAACATGGGGGTCAAAACGGAATTTTTTTAGAGAAAAGCGACTTTAAAATAAAATCTGACAACGCCGCAATGCCAGACGAAAATTACGACAGAACGCAGTGTCAATAAAGTTGTAGTTTGTGATTTTTGGCTCTTAGATATTATTTCATTATTTGATAATGTACTCGTAAAATGCAAACAATTAAAAAAACGGACTTACCAATAACTAATAACGTTTACACCCTGTATGACGTCATAGTATGTCGTATAAAAAACCGCATACATTGTCGATATGACGTCTATATGACGTGGATATGACGTTAAAATAATCGTTTCCGACCAAAAGTGACTCAATAATGACGTCATTTTGGCAACTCTCCACACCCTGTGAAATAAACACATACCGTGGTAGGAACTCTAAGCAGCTCTTGCTCCTTGGTGAGCACCACAGGAACAGGCGAAACGAACCCATCAGCGGTACAGTATATCTCTTGGACGCACTGCAATGCTGCGGCACAACCCACAGGAGGAGATGCTTCTTCAATAGGCTGTTGACCTCCGGTGAATGTTGGTTGCCTGTTGTAAGACGGTTGGGTTCCAGTCACTGGATGTCTGGTTGTGGGAACGAAAAAACTGTTGGCGTTCGCCGAATCAACGGTGTTGTCTGGATTTTCGGAAGGACCTAGTGATGAGAAGAAGATTGATATTACGCTTACTATTCCTTATAACATCACCTTAGTTTCTTCGTTATAATGGGTTATTTTTCTGCTAGTATCTTTTTGGCAACACTGTTTTTGACAGATGACGCGTGAATCGTGTCTTGTGTCATTGTCAAACTTGTTCAGTTTGGTCTTTAATTTAAAAATGAATCGACTTACGAATGAACAAGGCTTGCAAATTATTTAATTTTACTATCAAAATTCATGCTCGGTTAAGAGATTGCATTGAGCACTGCTTCCAATTTATGGGCAATTTGGTCGGCCTACTGAGGGAGCTATTCGGAAGCTTGTGACTAAATTTCGAACCCAGGTTACATTATTGGACATTAAACCACCAACACGGAGAGGTAGAGTGAGGACTGAAGAAAATATTGCGGCTGTATCCGCCAGTGTTAGTGATGACCGTGAAATGTCGATTCGCCGCCGTTCGCAGCAATTGGGCCTCTGTTACTCCACTACGCGGAAAATTTGGCGACAGGATTTGGGTGTAAAACCTTATAAGATACAGCTGGTGCAAGAATTGAAGCCACACTATCTCCCACAACGTTTCCCATTTGGTGAATGGGCGCTGGCAAAGTTGGAGGAAGATCCACATTTTTATCGAAAAATTGTGTTCAGCGACGAAGCTCATTTCTGGTTGAATGGGTACGTTAACAAGCAAAATTGCCGCATCTGGAGTGAAGACCAGCCAGAAGCATTGCAAGAGCTACCAATGCATCCCGAAAAAATCACTGTTGGCCGGAACGTAACTGTGAATGGCGAGCGCTACCGTGCGATGATAACAAACTTTTTTTTGCCCAAAATGGAAGAGCTGGACTTGGCTGACATGTGGTTTCAACAAGGCGGTGCCACATGCCACACCGCACACGAAACAATGGCCCTATTGAGAGGCGAGTTCGGTGAACAGTTTATCTCACGTTTGGGGCCCGTCAATTGGCCGCCTAGATCGTGTGATTTAACGCCGTTCGACTATTTCTTGTGGGGCCATGTTAAGGCTAATGTCTACAGAGATAAACCAGCAACGATTGACGCACTGGAAGCCAATATTGAAGCATTTATTCGTGAGATACCGGCCGATATGTTGGAGAGAGTGTACCAAAATTGGACCTTGCGCATGGGCCATCTAAAATGGAGCCGCGGCCAACATTTAATGAATGAAATAATCTTTAAACATTAAATTATATCGACCGTTCTATCGACTCAAATAAAGATTTAATCGTTTTTTCAAATTTTTTGTTTTTTTTTAAAATCAAATCCTATACCTCTTAAAAAATCACCCGTTAGTATTTGTCTATCAGGTCTGATAACACGGGAATAAAATATTATTAGGGAAAGAACTGGAGCTGATGAGAAAAACAGGAGAGGAAATCTTAGAATGGCCTAAAGGTAATTTGGCATTCAGCTTGACACTTCGATATGATGTCTAAATTTTATACTTGATTGTTCGTTTTTTAATTTTTGCTTTATGTTCACCTACCTTCTCCCGGCCTTTGTGGCCTGTACCTAGGCACATGCGTTGTACTGGCGTACTGATTGTTGATCTTATTTTGACTAGTGTCGAGTGGCGTGGACGAAGGGTATCCAAATGGCGGCGTTGGAGTTGGGTAGCTGTATCCACCTGTTGGTCTATAAAACGACATAAAATATTAATAGGTGAACACTTATTTGATAATATGTTGTGGTTAACCGCTTTTGCTTGGAAACGGATGAGAGAGTAACCATATTAACCACGGTGTAGTATAAGATATTCAACAGAATGAGAGGTCTGCTCGTAGCTGGTCCGTGGTGCTTTTGTTTCACTTTGGGACTGATTTGACCACCTTACGAGTACTCCAGAATATGATGTAACCACTCGGACAAAAATAATGGTATACGTTTAGGCGGTTTCTTGAAACAATGGAGTCTAATTGTCATATTAACCGGTAGGGGTTGGAATTCATTTAGATCGCCAGTGAAGCTTGTTACAAGTCTTAATTCACTTGATTGTGAATATGTGATATATTCAACGTCACTCTAAGACATAGGTTTCAAATCAAAGGGATGATGAGAGGAACAACAATAAGCATGGTGATGTAATTCTAAGTCTAATATGGTGGTCACCGCAACATGCCGCTATGATATGGGTGTCAAATAAAAGGGCTTGATGAGAGAAACGCAATAAGCAAAGAGAAGTCGTTCGAAATCCAACACGAAATTACTCATTAAGTTGATGCCAAATAAGAGTATGTTATAAAGATCGTGGTACAAAATAATTGGCGATAGTGCTTCTCTGACGAACTAAATGAGTTAATTTATTATTTTCTATGGACACCATCAAGCGAAGCCTCAAATGGTTATAACGCTGTTTTCATCGAGATTTTCGTGGAATTACGAGTGGCTTACAAGTTTTTTTCATGAAAACCTACTTCCGGTAGCGTCCTGTAGGAGCCTGTATCTCCGTTAGGGAGCCCCGTAGGGCATTTTTGAGAGTAACTTATTCTGGAACACCTTATACAAAATGAGCAAATTGTTTTTATCGTACAATTGGCCTTATTGACCTTCAAAGCAAACACTTGGGAAGCAGGAAACACTTTAGGTTGACATGGTTACTGCTTCAGTATTTCCGAGCATAAATTACCTGACTTTGGGGCTAGTAGTGGTGAAATGGTTAACAGTGTGTGGATGAAGTGTAGTTTGGACGCAGATTCCAGAACTGGATCGAGTTTGACCTGGAGGACAGGGCTTTTGGGAGGCGGGTATACAGGACCCCGAACTAGATAGTATTTGACCAGGAGGGCATGGTGAAGGCCTTTGGCTAGGACCTTGCGGGTATTCACAACCTAAACCTGAAGCTGAGGGTACTTGACCAGGTGGGCAAGTGGGTCCAAATGAAGGTTTATATGTAGAAATGGTTTGGTCTATGCATATACCTGAAAGAGAAAGTATTTGGCCAGGTTTGCAAGCTGCTAAAGGCCTAGTAGTAGAAGGACCAGATGAAGGTTTGTAAGTAGAAACAGGTCGGTCTATACATTCACCTGAAGGAGCAAGGTTTTGACCAGGCTTACAAGATGTGGGACCTCTAGGGTATTCACAACCTAAGCCTGAGGCAGAGGGAACTTGGCCAGGCGGGCAAGAGGGCTTAGTAGCAGAAGTGCTGTAAGATGGTTTGTAAGTAGTAATGGTTTTGTCTACACATTCACCAGAAGGAGATAGTACTTGGCCAGGCTTACAAGTTGTGGGCCCTATGGGGTATTCACAACCTACACCTGTAATAGAGGAAACTTGACCCGGTGGACAAGAGGGCTTGACAGTAGAAGTACCGAAGGAGGGTTTGTAGGTAGTGATGGCTTTGTCTACACATTCACCAGAAGGAGACCGTGTTTGACCAGGTGCGCATGCTGGAGTGCCAGAAGGATAAACGCAAATACCTGAAGCGGATAGGGTTTGACCTGGACCACAGCGAGTCGGAGGAGTAGGTTTGACTGGTTCTTGGAATGGTTGAGTTGGTCTAGGATATTTGTAACCGGTTGAAATCCCTGGGCGGTAAGTCGTAGGTCCAGGAATTCCAGAACGCTCACAGCCTGAAGGAGTTAGCACTTGGCCTTGTGGACATTGCTTAGGAGTTATTCCAGGTGATGGCTTAGGAGTAAATGTTGTTTGGTCTCTTGGATATTCACATCCAGAGCCTGTAACTGATGGCACTTGACCTGGTGGACAATATATAGGAGAACTTGTCGATGTGGGAGTAGCCGGACCTCTTGGGTATTCACAACCAAGACCTGAAGCAGAAGGTACCTTCCCCAGGGGACATGGTTTAGGCGTAGTAGGTCCAAATGTCGAACCCCTTTGAGGTACACAAACACCTGATGCTGAAAGCACTTGGCCTGGTCCACATTTTGGTCGTGTTATGACACCAGATGGTGTGACACATTGACCTGACGGAGAAAGGGACTCTCCAGGATTGCATTGAGGTCTCGACGTTGCTGTTGGTTGTTGCCGCTCAGGGAAAGGTGTTGTGGGAACAGGTCGATATGTAGAAGGTTTTGTTGCGCCTGGTCGAAATGATGGTCTAGCTGTTGAAGGACCACTCAGATATTCACAACCTAACCCAGATGTAGATGGAACTTGACCTGGTGGACAAGGTTTCCGTGTAGATGGCCCGTATGTCGGTCTAGATGTAGTCTGACGTGACACACAATCACCAGATGGAGTCAAAACTTGTCCTGGGCCACAAGTAGGTCTCGAAGTAGCTCCTGTTGGAGTTACACATTGTCCTGATGGAGATAAGGATTCTCCAGGAGCGCAAACTGGCATAGATGACGGACGATGGCGTTCTGGGAAAGGTGCTGTTGGTCTTTTATAGCCGTAACCAGTTGAAATGCTAGGACGGTAAGTAGTAGGTGTCGGTGGTTTTGGATATTCACAACCGACCCCCGAAGTAGACGGTATTTGACCTGGAGGGCAAGGCTTAGCCGTAGATGGTTCTGATGTCGGATACCCTGGACGTCCAGGATATTCACAACCGGAACCAGACGCAGAATGTACTTGACCTGGAGGGCAGACTGTTGGTGTAGATGGTCTGTATGGTGGTCTTGCAGCCTCACGGGATGGAGTGACACATTGTCCGGATGGCGACAATGATTCTCCTGGAGCACATGGAGGTCTAGATGGCAAAGCCGTAGTTGGTTTTTTATATTCATAATCAGTTGTTCTCACTGTTGAGGAAACCGTTTTGCTTCGATAGTCACAGCCAGTGCCTGATTTAGAAGGTACCTGTCCCGGTGGGCAGGGTTTTTGCGTAGTAGGCCCGTATGATGGTCTACTTCCACGTGAAACGCATTCGCCAGATGGAGTCAATACTTGACCTCGACCACAGATATGTTCTGAAGGGGTAACGCACTGTCCCGATGGTGACAAAGATTCTCCAGGAGCGCATTGTGGTTTGTATGTTGGTGTAACACGTTCTGGGAATGGAGTAATTGGTTTTTGGTACTCTGTTGGTCTAGACGTTGAACCAACTGCGTATATGCAGGCACCAGATGAAGATAGAACTTGTCCTGGACCACAGGAAGGTTTTGGTGTCACACGGGATTGTGAAATACATTCACCAGATGGCGACAGTGATTCTCCAGGGGCACATTTAGAACTATATGGAGTAGAAGATGTTTGATAATCATGACCTGTTGAAACACTTGGACGATAGGTTGTAGGTCTCGGTGGATATTCACATCCTAATCCTGAACTGGAAGGCACTTGGCCAGCTGGACAAACTGCAGGAGTGGATGGACTAAATGATGGCCTAGTTGGATACGAGCAAATTCCTGATTCGGATACTATTTGACCAGGCGCACACGATGGACTTATAGTAGACGTTGGTTGAGAAGGTCTGTAAGGTACAGCAGGTGCAGTAACACAACGTCCGGAAGAAGATAATACTTGACCTAAGCCACATTGTCGTCCAGGTGTCGGACGAGGTCTTTCAGGGAAAGGTGTAGTTGGTCTTGGGTATTGGTAACCATGTTGTGTGGGCGGTGTATATTTACTCCCAGATGGAGTAACGCATTGCCCTGATGGAGATAATGATTCACCGGGCCCGCACTGTGGTTTTGGGTATTGTGAACTTGGAGTTATTCCTGGAATCTTTTCACATTTATTCGAGAAGGAAGAAAGCTTTTCTCCTGGAGGACATGTTTGGACTGGAGTTGGTACTCTTGGATATTCACAGCCTCTACCTGAAGCAGACGGCACTTGTCCTGATGGGCAAGTCGTTCTAGATGGGGATGGTGCGAACGTAGATGCAGTTTGATAAACGCATGCACCAGATTGTGAAAGCACTTGACCTGGCCCGCAAGATGATCCAGTTGGTCTAAGCGTTGATACTGATACAGTAACACATTGACCCGTTGGAGACAATGATTGTCCAGGACCACATTGAGTTGTAGGTGTTACTGTCTGTTTTGGTCTTTCAGTAGTAGTTGGTTTTTTATAATCGTAACCAGTAGACTTACTGGGAGCTTGCACGCAATCTTTAGTGAATGGCGAAAGCGTTGTACCAGGAGGGCAAGATGGAACTGGTGTGCGTGGATATTCACAACCAAATCCGGAAGAAGAAGGAGTCTGGCCAGGAGGACAAGGTTTAGCTGCTGTTGGTCCGAAAGGTGGTCTTGGTGTTGAATTAGTTGGGTATGTACATTCTCCAGATGAGGATAGTACTTGGCCAGGTCTGCAAGATGATCTAGGAGTGGACGGTGGGCCGTTCGGTTTTATGGGGCTACAGTTTCCAGATGGCGTTAGTGTTTCACCAGGCCCACATTGAGGCCTAGATGGAGTAGTGGGTCGCGAATATTCATAACCAGTTGATGTCTCAGACGTTTTGTCACATTGCCTTGTGAAACTGTTAAGCTTAGTACCAGGGGGACATGAAGGAAGAGGAGTTTTCGTTTCAGAATATTCGCAGCCATATCCTGAAGCAGATAGAACTTGACCTGGTGGACAGGGTCTAGTTGTTGATGGTCCTAGCGTTGGCGATCCCGGACTATAAGGAAAAATGCATTGTCCCGAAGGGGATACAGACTGACCAGGTCCACATTGAGGCCTAGGTGATATCGTCGGACGTGGCTGTTCTGTAAAGGGTGTTGATGGCTTTGGATATTCATATCCAGGAGCTTTCTCGCATTTATTTGAGAAAGGAGAAAGCCTCGTACCTGGAGGACACGACGGGACCGCTGTAGGTCCCTTCTGATATTCACAACCGCTACCAGAAACTGATGGTATTTGACCTTGTGGGCAGGATGGTCTAGCGGTGGACGGGGCGAAGGTAGGCCTTGATGTAGATGGGGTTTGGTATATGCAGGTACCAGAGGCAGATAGTATTTCGCCAGGACCACAAGATGGTCCAGTAGATCTAGGTGGTGATGTCGACACAGCGATACATTGCCCCGTTTCAGACAATGATTGTCCAGGAGCGCACTGAGCTCCAGGAGCTGCTGTTGGTTTTGATTTTTGTGGCGCAGTAGGAGCAGTAGGTCTTGGATATTCGTAACCTGTCGATTTACCTGGTGCTTGTACACATTCTTTAGTGAATAGTGAAAGTTTTGTACCTGGAGGGCAAGATGGCACCGGTGTTCTGGGGTATTCACAACCAAACCCGGAAGTAGAAGGAACTTGACCAGGAGGACATGTTTTAGTCGTTGTTGGTCCAAATGGTGGTCTGGGCGTAGAACTTGTTGGATAAACGCATTCTCCAGAAGAAGAAATCACTTGCCCGGGTCTGCAAGACGGTCTAGGAGTTGACGGGGGGACAGTTGGTCTTATGGGACTACACTTCCCAGATGGTGTTAAGGTCCCTCCAGCTCCGCATGCAAGCTTGGATGGAGCAGTAGGTCTAGGATATTCATAACCTGACGATGTTTCGGAAGTTCTGTCGCATTGTTTTGTGAAGCTATTGAACTTAGTGCCTGGTGGACATGACGCTTGTGGAGTTGTTTTTGGATATTCGCAGCCGTAACCTGAAGTTGAAGGCACTTGACCCGGTGGACAGGGCTTAGGCGTAGACGGTCCTGTTGTTGGAAATCCCGGTCTAGATGGGTAGACACACTGTCCCGACGGGGATAATGATTGACCAGGTGCACATTGGGGTCTAGGGGATATTGTCGGACGCGGCTGTTCTGTGAACGGTGTTGAAGGTTTTGGATATTCGTATCCTGGCGTTACTTCAGAAATCTTCTCGCATTTGTTTGAGAAAGAAGATAGCCTTGATCCTGGAGGACATGGTGTAGGCCCTTTCGGGTATTCGCAACCAATACCAGATACGGAGGGTATTTGACCTGGTGGGCAGGATGGTCTAGGAGAAGACGGACCGTAAGTAGGCCTTGACGTTGATGCGGTTTGGTATATACAAGCACCGGAGGCTGAAAGTACTTGACCTGGACGACAAGATACTCCAGTTGGTCTGGGTGTTGATGTCGACACAGCGATACATTGCCCCGTTGGAGACAATGACTGTCCAGGACCGCACTGAGCCCCAGGAGCTGCTGTTGGTTTTGATTTTTGTGGCGTAGTAGGAGCAGTAGGTCTTGGATATTCGTAACCTGTCGATTTACCTGGTGTTTGTACGCATTCTTTAGTGAATGGTGAAAGTTTTGTACCTGGAGGGCAAGATGGCACCGGTGTTCTGGGGTATTCACAACCAAACCCAGAAGTAGAAGGGATTTGATCAGGCGGACATGTTTTAGTCGTTGTTGGTCCAAATGGTGGTCTGGGCGTAGAACTTGTTGGATAAACGCATTCTCCAGAAGAAGAAATCACTTGCCCGGGTCTGCAAGACAGTCTAGGAGTTGACGGGGGGACAGTTGGTCTTATGGGACTACACTTCCCAGATGGTGTTAAGGTCTCTCCAGCTCCGCATACAAGCTTGGATGGAGCAGTAGGTCTAGGATATTCATAACCTGTCGATGTTTCGGAAGTTCTGTCGCATTGTTTTGTGAAGCTATTGAACTTAGTGCCTGGTGGACATGACGCTTGTGGAGTTGTTTTTGGATATTCGCAGCTATAACCTGAAGTTGAAGGCACTTGACCCGGTGGACAGGGCTTAGGCGTAGACGGTCCTGTTGTTGGAAATCCCGGTCTAGATGGGTAGACACACTGTCCCGACGGGGATAATGATTGACCAGGTGCACATTGGGGTCTAGGGGATATTGTCGGACGCGGCTGTTCTGTGAACGGTGTTGAAGGTTTTGGATATTCGTATCCTGGCGTTACTTCAGAAATCTTCTCGCATTTGTTTGAGAAAGAAGATAGCCTTGATCCTGGAGGACATGGTGTAGGCCCTTTCGGGTATTCGCAACCAATACCAGATACGGACGGTATTTGACCTGGTGGGCAGGATGGTCTAGGAGAAGACGGACCGTAAGTAGGCCTTGACGTTGATGCGGTTTGGTATATACAAGCACCGGAGGCTGAAAGTACTTGACCTGGGCGACAAGATACTCCAGTTGGTCTGGGTGTTGATGTCGACACAGCGATACATTGCCCCGTTGGAGACAATGATTGTCCAGGACCGCACTGAGCCCCAGGAGCTGCTGTTGGTTTTGATTTTTGTGGCGTAGTAGGGGCAGTAGGTCTTGGATATTCGTAACCTGTCGATTTACCTGGTGCTTGTACACATTCTTTAGTGAATGGTGAAAGTTTTGTACCTGGGGGCAAGAGGGCACCGGTGTTCTAGGGTATTCACAACCAAACCCGGAAGTAGAAGGAACTTGACCAGGCGGACATGTTTTAGTCGTTGTTGGTCCAAATGGTGGTCTGGGTGTAGAACTGGTTGGATAAACGCATTCTCTAGAAGAAGAAAGCACTTGCCCGGGCTTGCAAGATGGTCTAGGAGTTGACGGAGGAGCAATTGGTCTTATGGGAATGCACTGCCCAGATGGTGTTAAGGTCTCTCCAGCTCCGCATGCAAGCTTGGATGGAGCAGTAGGCCTAGGATATTCATAACCTGTCGATGTTTCGGAAGTTCTGTCGCACTGTTTTGTGAAGCTATTTAGCTTAGTGCCTGGTGGACATGACGCTTGAGGAGTTGTTTTTGGATATTCGCAGCCGTAACCCGAAGTTGAAGGTACTTGACCCGGTGGACAGGGCTTAGGCGTAGACGGTCCTGTTGTTGGAGATCCCGGTCTAGATGGGTAGACACACTGTCCCGAAGGGGATAATGATTGACCAGGTGCACATTGGGGTCTAGGGGATATTGTCGGACGCGGCTGTTCTGTGAACGGTGTTGAAGGTTTTGGATATTCGTATCCTGGCGTTACTTCAGAAATCTTCTCGCATTTGTTTGAGAAAGAAGATAGCCTTGATCCTGGAGGACATGGTGTAGGCCCTTTCGGGTATTCGCAACCAATACCAGATACGGACGGTATTTGACCTGGTGGGCAGGATGGTCTAGGAGAAGACGGACCGTAAGTAGGCCTTGACGTTGATGCGGTTTGGTATATGCAAGCACCGGAGGCTGAAAGTACTTGACCTGGACGACAAGATACGCCAGTTGGTCTGGGTGTTGATGTCGACACAGCGATACATTGTCCCGTTTTAGACAATGATTGTCCAGGACCGCACTGAGCCCCAGGAGCTGCTGTTGGTTTTGATTTTTGTGGCGTAGTAGGAGCAGTAGGTCTTGGATATTCGTAACCTGTCGATTTACCTGGTGTTTGTACGCATTCTTTAGTGAATGGTGAAAGTTTTGTACCTGGAGGGCAAGATGGCACCGGTGTTCGGGGGAATTCACAACCAAACCCGGAAGTAGAGGGATTTGACCAGGCGGACATGGTTTAGCCGTTGTTGGTCCAAAGGGTGGTCTGGGTGTAGAACTGGTTGGATAAACGCATTCTCCAGAAGAAGAAAGCACTTGCCCGGGCTTGCAAGATGGTCTAGGAGTTGACGGAGGAGCAATTGGTCTTATGGGAATGCACTGCCCAGATGGTGTTAAGGTCTCTCCAGCTCCGCATGCAAGCTTGGATGGAGCAGTAGGCCTAGGATATTCATAACCTGTCGATGTTTCGGCAGTTCTGTCGCACTGTTTTGTGAAGCTATTTAGCTTAGTGCCTGGTGGACATGACGCTTGAGGAGTTGTTTTTGGATATTCGCAGCCGTAACCCGAAGTTGAAGGTACTTGACCCGGTGGACAGGGCTTAGGCGTAGACGGTCCTGTTGTTGGAGATCCCGGTCTAGAAGGGTAGACACACTGTCCCGAAGGGGATAATGATTGACCAGGTGCACATTGGGGTCTAGGGGATATTGTCGGACGCGGCTGTTCTGTGAACGGTGTTGAAGGTTTTGGATATTCGTATCCTGGCGTTACTTCAGAAATCTTCTCGCATTTGTTTGAGAAAGAAGATAGCCTTGATCCTGGAGGACATGGTGTAGGCCCTTTCGGGTATTCGCAACCAATACCAGATACGGACGGTATTTGACCTGGTGGGCAGGATGGCCTAGGAGAAGACGGACCGTAAGTAGGCCTTGACGTTGATGCGGTTTGGTATATGCAAGCACCGGAGGCTGAAAGTACTTGACCTGGACGACAAGATACGCCAGTTGGTCTGGGTGTTGATGTCGACACAGCGATACATTGTCCCGTTGGAGACAATGATTGTCCAGGACCGCACTGAGCCCCAGGAGCTGCTGTTGGTTTTGATTTTTGTGGCGTAGTAGGAGCAGTAGGTCTTGGATATTCGTAACCTGTCGATTTACCTGGTGTTTGTACGCATTCTTTAGTGAATGGTGAAAGTTTTGTACCTGGAGGGCAAGATGGCACCGGTGTTCGGGGGAATTCACAACCAAACCCGGAAGTAGAGGGGATTTGACCAGGCGGACATGGTTTTGCCGTTGTTGGTCCAAAGGGTGGTCTGGGTGTAGAACTGGTTGGATAAACGCATTCTCCAGAAGAAGAAAGCACTTGCCCGGGCTTGCAAGATGGTCTAGGAGTTGACGGAGGAGCAATTGGTCTTATGGGAATACACTTCCCAGATGGTGTTAAGGTCTCTCCAGCGCCGCATGCAAGCTTGGATGGAGCAGTAGGTCTAGGATATTCATAACCTGTCGATGTTTCGGAAGTTCTGTCGCATTGTTTTGTGAAGCTATTGAGCTTAGTGCCTGGTGGACATGACGCTTGTGGAGTTGTTTTTGGATATTCGCAGCCATAACCCGAAGTTGAAGGTACTTGACCCGGTGGACAGGGCTTAGGCGTAGACGGTCCTGTTGTTTCCGGTCTAGATGGGTAGACACACTGTCCCGAAGGGGATAATGATTGACCAGGTGCACATTGAGGTCTAGGGGATAGTGTCGGACGCGGCTGTTCTGTGAACGGTGTTGATGGTTTTGGATATTCGTATCCTGGTGTTACTTCAGAAACCTTCTCGCATTTGTTTGAGAAAGAAGACAGCCTTGATCCTGGAGGACATGGTGTAGGCCCTTTCGGGTATTCGCAACCAATGCCAGATACGGACGGTATTTGACCTGGTGGGCAGGATGGTCTAAGAGAAGTAGGCCTTGTCGTTGATGTGGTTTGGTATATACAAGCACCGGAGGCTGAAAGTACTTGACCTGGGCGACAAGATACTCCAGTTGGTCTGGGTGTTGATGTCGACACAGCGATACATTGTCCCGTTGGAGACAATGATTGTCCAGGACCGCACTGAGCTCCAGGAGTTGCTGTCGGTTTTGATTTTTGTGACGTAGTAGGAGCAGTAGGTATTGGATATTCGTAACCTGTAGATTTACCTGGTGCTTGTATACATTCTTTTGTGAATGCTGAAAGTTTTGTACCTGGAGGGCACGACGGTACCGTTGTGCGGGGGTATTCACAACCAAATCCTGACTTAGAAGGAACTTGGCCAGGTGGACATGGCTTAGCCGTTGTTGGCCCAAAGGGTTTGAGTGTAGCGCTTGTTGCGTATACACATTCTCCAGATGAAGAAATCACTTGACCAGGTCTACAAGACGGTCTAGGATTGGGAGATGGCCCATAAGGTTTTATGGTGCTACATTTTCCAGATGGTGTCAAAGTCTCTCCAGGCCCGCATGCAGGCTTTGATGGAGCAGTAGGTCTGGGATACTCATAACCTGTCGATGTTTCGGCAGTTCTGTCACATTGCTTTGTGAAGCTGTTGAACTTAGTGCCTGGAGGACATGAAGGCTGTGGAGTTTTTTTTGGATATTCGCAGCCATATCCTGAAGTAGAAGGTACTTGACCTGGCGGGCAGGGCTTGAGGGTAGACGGTTCTGTTGTTGGAGGTCGCGGTCTAGGTTCGTACACACATTGTCCCGAAGGGGATAACGATTGACCAGGTGCACATTGGGGTCTAGGAGTGATCGTAGGACGTGGCTGATCTGTGAAGGGCGTTGATGGTTTGGGATATTCGTATCCTGGTGTTTCTCCGGAAATCTTCTCGCATTTCTTGGAGAAAGAAGAGAACCTTGAACCTGGAGGACATGATGGAACTGGTGTAGGTTGACCGAAAGTAGGCTTTGATGTTGGTGCGGTTTGGTAGGTACAGGCACCGGAGGCCGAAAGTACTTGACCTGGACCACAAGATGGCTGAGTTGGTCCAGGTGTTGATGTCGATACAGCAATACATTGACCCGTTGGAGACAACGATTGTCCAGGACCACACTCTGCTCCAGGTGCCGTCGTTGGTTGTGGTCTTTCAGCAGTAGTTGGTCTTTGATAATCGTAACCAGTAGATGTACCAGGAGCTTGCACGCAATCTTTAGTGTATGGCGAAAGTGCTGTACCAGGAAGGCAAGACGGAATCGGTGTACGTGGATATTCACAACCAAATCCTGAATTAGAAGGAACTTGGCCAGGCGGACATGGCTTAGCCGTTGTTGGACCGAAGGGCTTAGGAGTAGAGCTTGGGTATACACACTGTCCAGATGAAGAAATCACTTGACCAGGTCTACAAGTTGGCCTACCAGAAGACGATGGGCCATACGGCTTTGTAGGGCTGCAGTTCCCAGATAGTGTCAAGGTCTCTCCAGGCCCGCATGTAGGCTTGGTTGGAGCAGTAGGTCTGGGATATTCATAACCAGTCGTTTTAGAAGTTCTGTCACATTGCTTTGTGAAGCTATTAAGCTGAGTGCCTGGGGGACATGGAATAGGTGGCGTCGATGGTTTAGGATATTCGCAGCCATATCCGGAGGGTGAAGGGATTTGACCTGCTGGACAAGGCTTAGGCGTAGATGGTACAGTCGTTGGGGATCCCGGCCTAGATGGGTAGACACATTGTCCTGAAGGTGATAACGACTGGCCAGGTGCACATTGTGGTCTAGGTGATAATGTCGGGCGTGGTGGTTCCGGGAAAGGTGTGGAAGGCTTTGGGTATTCGTAACTTGGTGTTACTCCAGTAACTGTTTCGCATTTACTCGAGATCGAAGAAAGCATTGTACCAGGAGGGCAAGCCGTTACTGGTTTGCGTGGATATTCACAGCCAAATCCGGAAGAAGAAGGAACTTGACCAGCAGGACAAGGTTTAGCTGTTGTTAATCCAAAAGGTTTTTTCGTTGTAGAAATTGCTGGATAAATGCATTCTCCAGATGACGAAATTATTTGACCAGGTTTGCAAGATGGTCTAGGAGTAGACGATGGTCCATATGGTTTTGTAGGTCTACAAGTGCCAGATGGTAACAATGTTTCGCCAGGACCACACTGAGGCTTAGATGGAGGAGTAGGTCTTGGATAGTCATAACCAGTTGTAACCTCTGGAGCTTTATCGCACTGTTTTGTGAAGGGATTGAGTTTAGTACCTTTGGGGCACGAAGTAGTTGGTACCGACGGTTGAGAAGGCGTAGTAGGTTTTTGATAGTCATAGCCTGTAGTGAACCCTTGAGGACTCTTCACACATCCATTAGTGAATGGAGATAACACAGTGCCAGGAGGACATGTCACAGGACGTGCAACAGGTGTATTGGCTGGTGTTTGAGGATATACGCAAACCCCGTTAGACGAAAGTATTTGCCCTTGTTTACAAGATGGCTTAGTAGTAGCTGTGAATGGTCGTGGCGTGCTGAATGGTGGATGCTGAGTGGATGAAATATAACTAGTTCGGTGTTCTGTGGTGGTAGATGTTTCATGAGGTCTATGGGTGGTGATTGAAGGTACGTACTGCGTGGTGGGTTTGGGTGGAAGGTAATCCTTTTTCAGCTCGGGTGTTGTTGGACGTTCGAATGGTCTTGGAGGCGGTTTTGGAGTTGTGGCGGAATAGATTGGTTCACAAGTGCCGAAAGGAGTAGAGCGGGTGCCCGGTGGACATGCAGGTCTTGGAGAGGAAGGTGGTGCTTCGCAGGCCCCGGATGCAGTTTTAACGGTACCAGGTGGACATGGTCTTGGATACTCGTAGGCAGGTGTACCGGTGGTAGTGGTGGAGCCGGTTTGAGCCGATTCGCAGGAACCAGAAGGGCCTAAGTAAGTGTTAGGAGGACAGGATGTAGGACTTGTGGGTCTCTGGCAACTTCCATCGGGCTGCTGGGTAGTTCCAACGGGGCACACAGTTGGTCTTCGGCATTCTCCGTTGGGCCCTGGGAATGATCCCGCAGGACAAGTTGTGGCTGGAGTTGAAGGCTTCTGACAACTTCCATCAGGTTGTTGAATAGTTCCTGGTGCACATATAGGTGCTGGAGTAGTTCGTCTCTTGCAATCTCCGTTGGGTGCTTGGTAAGTTCCTAGAAAGCAGAAATTGCATTGCCATGGATTTTGCTGAAAATATGACAATGAACTGTAATCTGATAATAAATAATACTGTTGGTTCGTTTTTTTTTGTTAAGCAGTGTCACGTCCATAAGAAGAGCGACTTTAACAATAACTCTCAGTTGGACGGTAAGATCACATCCATCTGTAACGTCGATTATTCCTGCAATAAGTTTAGATAGTCACCTGGAGGACAAGGCTGTGGAGGTCTTTGACAGCTACCGTCAGATTGTTGAACTGTTCCGACTGGACATCTGGGTATCGGTGCTGGTGTTGTAGCTCTTCTGCATTCACCATTCGGTCCTAGATATGAACCTGGAGGACAAGAAGGTCTAGGGCTCGAAGGTCTTTGACAACTGCCATCGGGTTGTTGAACGGTTCCTACTGGACATCCAGGTGTTGTTGATGGTGTGAAAGGTCCCCTGCATTCTCCATTGGGTCCCGGGTATGAGCCTGGAGGGCACGAAGGAGAAGGTCTTGACGGTCCAGGTGTCGGTGATGGTGTAGCAGGTCCTCTGCATTCTCCATTGAGCCCCGGGTATGAGCCTGGAGGGCACGAAGGAGAAGGTCTTGAAGGTCCAGGTGTTGGTGATGGTGTAGCAGGTCCCCTGCATTGCCCATTGGGTCCCGGGTAAGATCCTGGAGGGCACGAAGGAAAAGGTCTTGAAGGTCCAGGTGTTGGTGATGGTGTAGCAGGTCCTCTGCATTCTCCATTGGGTCCCGGGTATGAGCCTGGAGGGCACGAAGGAGAAGGTCCAGGTGTTGGTGATGGTGTAGAAAGTCCTCTGCATTCCCCGTTAGGTCCTGGGAATGATCCTGGAGGACATGTTCTCTGGCAGCTTCCGTCAGGTTGACGGGTGGAACCGATTGGGCATCCTGGCAGTGGTGTTGGTTGTTGTCTGCATTCCCCAGAAGGTCCCCTAAATGTTCCAGGTGGGCAAGTTGGAAGGGGCGTTACAGGCTTTTGGCAACTTCCGTCAGGTTGTTGGATTGTTCCCGGTGGACATCTAGATGCAGGTGTCGTAGGTGTTGAACTTGCTTCACAAGCTCCTGGAGAGGTGAACAACAAACTTGAATCCACATTTTTTCGAAAAATCTAAGCCTGTTTTTAGACGTTTTTTTCGATCAAATTAGGCGCTATTTTTCAACTACATGAGTTAGACTTTTATTGTGCATATATTATTTAGTGACTCGGGATAGCATCCGGATTGTTCAAATGTTCTAAAAATTTTATTTTTTCATGAAAATTATGGTAGTCTGGTAGGGTATCAACAAAATATGGACTTCTCTTTTTACCAGATCGATGCACGTCTTGTGATCTTTCTCAAAGGATGAAATGTGTTCAAATAGGTAATGATAATGGTACTCATCAGTTAATTTACAGACCTAGTAGGAATTATTTCCCGTGAATATTTTCCTCGTAGCGATGTATGTACCTACCTGAAGCAGTTAAGAACGTTCCGTGCGGGCAAGGTCTGGGAGACAAAGATGTCTGACAGGTGCCATCAGGTTGTCTCACTGAACCGAACGGGCAAACCAACTGTTGTTGAGTATCAGGAGTGCATTCACCTAAAGACGTCAGATGTGTGCCTGGAGGGCAGGGTGCTGGTGTAGGACCCGTCCGTGGACCACAACTGCCATCAGGTCGACGCAGGCTTCCTGGAGGACAGCTTGGCGTTGTTGGCGAGGAACACCTACCACCTGGATGGAAACATTATTCCGTAAGACGATGGACGGAGATAGAGGCTCTTAAAGGAGAACGCACTTGGGAATTGGTTTCTCTAACCGTTGAATGCCAATTTCAACATGAAGACACATCTGCGCATTTTCTAAGAAAATGATTGCATAATGATATAGATATCAAGATCTCAGTAAGTGGTCCCAGCCACCATAACACATAAACATTTCAACGGAAACTTCTGAGAAGGGAGAAGCGCCGCATAAGTAGCACATTAGCATAAATAAAAACGGTTCTCGATCGATTAGATTGAAATGGAAGTCATTTGTGCAAATTCTATTTTGTACAGGGTTTGTCCGGAAAGTGATAGGACTCATTTTCTTCCGCCATGACTGTACTTCGCAGTGTGCGCGCACCGACTGGATTCGGTAGAGGGCGTTCCTAGCTAACGAATGAGCGGCTGGTCAGTTGTCTCCGAGCACTTGGAGAGTCAGGACAGGCATTTTCGCGCGACGTGTTTCTGTGAGTGGTGCAAGCCGAAAATGCAGCGTTCGTTAGAGCAGAAGTACGCGATTAAATTCTGTGTGAAACTCGGTAAATCTGCGACAGAGACGTTTGATATGATCAAGCAGGCTTACCCAGGTGTTGCTTTAGCAAGAAGTGGTGTGTTTCGGTGGCCGCTGGCCTTTTTGGAGGGCCGGGAAGAGGTCGCTGAAGAAGACCGTGCTGAAAGACCTTTGACTTCGACAAACACCGATAATGTGACTCGTGTGCGCAAAATTTTGAACTCAGACCGTCGACTAGGTATTCGTTTAATTGCCCAGATGTTAAATTTACCAAAATCTGTGGTTCATGACATTGTGACACAGCATTTGAACATGCGCAAGGTGTGTGCGAAGATGGTCCCAAAACTGCTCACTGACGACCAGAAATTGCGGCGAGTGGAAGTGCGCCAAGAAAATTTGAACATGTGTGAAAGTGACCCCCAATTTTTGAATAGCGTAATCACAGGTGACGAGTCGTGGATCTTTGAGTATGATCCCGAGACAAAGAGGCAATCTTCCGAGTGGCACACGACGGCGTCTCCTCGCCCAAAAAAGGGAAGAATGAGCAAATCCAAAGTGAAAACGATGCTCATTGTCTTTTTGTACATCAAAGGCATCGTCCGCCATGAATTTGTTCCTCCTGAACAAACCGTCAACGCCAAGTTTTACGTAGAAGTGCTCAAACGAAGGGTCAGTCCGACAAGACATCGCAGCCGACCACGAAAACGCCCCGCCTTTCTTGTGAACAGCTACCTGACCAAGGCCGGCATCCCAACGCTTCCGCAGCCGCCCTACAGCCCAGATGTGGCCCCCCGGGCTTTTTTTGTTTCCTCGTCTGAAAAGGCCGATGAATAGCAAGCATTTTGAGACGACAGAGTTGATCCAAGCAGCATGCACCGCGGCATTCAAGGCTATTCCGGAGAATGCCTTCCGTGACGCCTTCAATGCTTGGAAATCGCGCTGGCAGCGCTGCATCGACGCAGAAGGAGCCTATTTTGAAAGTTTTTAAAGAATTGTAACGATTGGCTCAATAAACTTTTTTAAATCGACTCAGTCCTATTACTTTCCGGACAAACCCTGTATATACAAGACATTCATCACGTTACTACAATTTTGCGGAATACAATTAAGAAAATTATTATTAATTTCATCAGGATAGTATCATGGAGACGCTTCATAGGATTGTTAAGAGAACTTTTGATCAGGTTATTCTGGCGAGCTTAACCTCAAAGTTTGAGCAAGTTTCCAGATGTATTAAATTAACATTACACACCTCCAGTCGGGTACCTTCCAGGTGGACATGCTGGTGTCGCAGTAGGTTGAGGTTGAGGCGTTGTTGGAGGTTGTAGCCTCTTACAGCTTCCGTCAGGTTGTTGCTCATAGCCATACGGACATGCTGGTTTTTCACATGTGCCGTCAGGTTTTCTTATGGTGCCTGGCGGACATTCCTGCGGTTGAGCAGACTCACATCTTCCAGACGGGGTAAGTTGTGTTCCTGGTGGACAAGCTGGCCTGGGCGTTGTTGGGATGGATGGTTGATAGGTGGAGATTGATGGGGTTGTACCAACTAAAATTTAAATAAGAAATATGTCAGAAACGAAGGACTGCATAAGATGAAAAACATAATGCTTTTATCAGACCAACCAAACTAACTAACTTACCAAGTGGAGGGAGGTACTCAGGCCCTTGAATAGTCGATGCGAATCGTACGTTGCTATCAAAATGGACATTGCTATAGTCGATCGGTCTAGCGAAGATCGAATTTTCGTTCGAATTTACTTCTCTCGTTGGTTTTAGCGTCGATGTTTGGATGGAAGAACCGCTTGTGTATTGAGTTTTTCTGTCCAGGTTCTCATCAGCGTTAACCTGAAAGAGATCAAAATATTTTTATTATTGTCCTACCCTTTTGACGTCGACTTCTGGGTCACTCTGTATATCTTTCACCAGTTGATGCATGGTTGACGTATTAGTAACATGTTGGTCATCAAAGCTTATCGAAATCGATCTAATTCCACCAAAAATGTTGTGCAGCGATGAGACCTCAAAAATGATCGTGATAGCATTGAATATTTTTGTAATCGTCCTCGAAACAGCGTATCTTGCAGTCCATTCAACTAGCAAAAACAACCACTCTTGGTTAGTTCACATCCTAGCATTTATAGTGTATGTAGTTATGCTAACAGAAATATTCGCAAGCGTATTTAGAAAATCAAAAATGTTACGTATGCAGGGTGTTTCAGTTTATTGTTGCATAACTTTAAGATTCGATAGAACTTTTAAAATTAATGTATAAAGTCTATATAAACATGGGTCGAAAAATGCGTGGCTTCCGAAATACAGGGTGTTTAAATTTGCTTCTTAAAATAGTTTTTTTTAAATATTTCGAACAATATTTGATGCATAACAGTGAAAATCGGTATACAAGGGTTTTTTGGTACGACAAAACGAACCATGGGCATAGTTCTACTGTAGCCGCTAGAGGGCGCTCTCTACTGTACCTGTAGTGTATTAAAATGACCGAAAAATTTTTCTTAGTGCAATTTTCTGCTTTTTGAATAAAAAAACTGATTCTTCGCACTTTTCAACATATAAAAAGCTCTCTTGTGAATTTTCGTTATAGTTAGCCGTTTTTGAGATATTTCGATTTTTAAGGTTCGACGCATTTTTTATTATTTATGATAAAATAACGTTAAAAAGTCAGTATCTCGATAATTTTTAGAAGTAGGCTGTGCCTGCAACTATTTTTGAAATTGAAAGCAGAATAAGGTTAAACGTCAATTAGTTGACAGTTAGTTTTGTTGTCTGTTGAAAACTGAAACGTTTTTTTACAATTATGAATGCACGAAATTTAGTTTCTTTTACCAGTTCTTTTTTGGTAACTTTTATAAAAATGCCATTTTTATTCTCCAATCAAGAATTAGCGGATATTCATTTTGTGTATGGCTTTGTAAATGGAAACGCAGCAGAAGCAGCCAGAGAATACGCACGAAGATTTCCAAACATTCGTCATCCAACTCGCTCAATATTTGTAAGAGTGCATCGCCAAATAATTGAAAATGGTTTTGGAAATCTCCAAAGGGATCAAAACATAAATGTTCGTCAGCGTAGATTTACCGGTATGATTCTGTGTGAGTTTGATAGAGATCCGACCACCAGTGTTAGGAGAGTTTCTGGTGCCTTGGGAATTTCAGCAAGCCATGTTCACTATGTTCTTAGAAATGACCATAGACGTCCTTACCATCTGCAACCTGTGCAAGGACTACAGCCAGGGGACGGAGAACGAAGAATCACATTTGGTCAGTGGATTCTTGATAGAACTGAGTTTTTAAGTAACGTTTTATGGACCGATGAGTCATGCTTCACTAGACGTGGAGTAGTAAATTTTCATAATCAACATATTTGGTCGCATGAAAATTCGCATGCAGTTCGGGAAAGAAATTTTCAGCATGAATTTAGTGTGAACGTGAGGATTGGTATCTACCGTAATCGACTATTTGGACCCTACCTTTTGCCTGCAAGGTTAAATGCTGCGACCTTCTTGGATTTTTTAAAGGCTGAACATGCAAATATGTGGGAAGATGTTATGTTAGATTTGAGAAGATTGGCCTGGTTCCAGCTTGATGGTTGTCCAGCTCATTATTCGAGAATAGTTAGAAACTGGCTGGACGAAAATTATCCAGAAAGATTGATCGGCTGTGGAGGACCAGTCGCCTGGCCTCCACGTTCCCCTGACCTAAATCCATTAGATTTCTTTGTGTGGGGATTTCTAAAAGAAAAAGTGTACCAGACTCCCGTAACCACAAGAGATATGCTAATAGACAGAATCAGGAATGCATGTGATGAAATAAGGCTTTATTTGAATAATGCTATACCACGTTCGATCATTCGTAGATTTGAATTGTGTATTGGACAATTGGGTTTACATTTCGAGCAACTACTTTAGATTTTGTATGTTTGTCCTAACTATCCAATAGCATTTTAGTTGTAAATATTTAATTTAATTTGTTAAAAATAATTAAACAAATTAATATTCTGTTTTTTGTGTTTATTTGGGGTTAGGAATTATTGCTGTGTTTAAAAACACAATCTAAATGATCATCTTAATTACTTGTGATGCCCAAATCGAAAATGTAAAAAAAAATTATTTTCCCATAAATAATTAAAAATGCATCGAACCTTGAAAATCGAAATATCTCAAAAAGGGCTAACTATAACGAAAACTCACAGGAGAGCTTTTTTATGTTGAAAAGTGCCAAGAATCAGTTTTTTTATCCAAAAAGCAAAAAATTGCACTAAGAAAAAATGTTTATATAGACTTTATGCATTAATTTTAAAAGTTCTATCGAATCTTAAAGTTATGCAACTGAAACACCCTGTATATTGCTATAAAGTCATTGTTCTTATAATATTGGGAATAACTGGTGTAATAATGAGTTTATATGAGTGGATGGTACTAGATATTAACGATACGAAGAGAAAAGAATTAAAGATAAGGTTTGACAAATATACCGAGACGAAAGATGACGAAAAATACGTAGATGAACTCCAAAACAGCATGAATGTTGTGGAATTGATAATTCTTTCTATTGGGCAAAGAGGAATGTTACAGTTCATGATTCGTGCAAAGAAAAAGGAAACGAAATTTATACAGATGGCTGTCTGATCAAAATAATGAAATCTGGCAACAAAAGAGTTACGCTGATCATCACTTTGTATTCTATAGAATTGGTAGTTGAGATAGCAACAGCTGCTTGTGCATTTTATTTGTCATCAAGATGGAGGAAGCAAACAAGGGATGCAGAATGATGATTTAAGTCTGGTGCAGTACACATCTTCGACGTTGTCGTTCCATTAAATGCCAAATCTTAAGACAGGTTTTAGTTAGATTTTTTATATTTTTCTGATAACTATTACGACCTATCAGCCATTTCCGGCTTCTGGGACACCCTGTTTACAGGACATATGATACGTGAGATCCCTAACTATAGGTTGCTGCGTTTACAACCAAACCTAAGAAAAAACATGCTATTAACAAATACTGATATCTTCCTTACCTGAATGGCCATAGGTGATGTGCCATCCGTTCCACCAATCCTGATCGACGACCCTGCAGAAAGCTTCTTTTCGGAAGATATGAGATCATTGATACTAGTAGGATGCACTGTCTTCTTAGATAACTTCGGCAACACATCGTTTAAGTCCACATCGACCTGGCTATTAGGAATTTGGCAGCATACTTCAGTATCGTGGTTGCAGTATAATCCCTATAACAAAAAGAGAATAAATAAGCAAAGTAATACAAGAATAAAATGAACGAAAATTCAACTTGTATGACCTTAGTAGGCATCCGGGCTATGCACAGTAAAATACCACCTGAAACTTTATTTCGTAAAAGAGTCACGAGGTTCGAATGTGTCAAGTTCTTGTAGTGAAATGAATCTTACTTCCCACCGTTACTGGCGGGGAAGTAGGTATTGTAATAATGCCGAAATTTTTTGAAAATAAAATGGCATTACTTCGATTTTTGACATTTCAGAGGCTCCTGATCATTTATACAGGGTGTCCGCAAAGTTGGGGTTTTCCTTTACACGACGTGTAGATCTTGAAAACATAAGCAATTTTTCTTAGTACCATATACACGAATGTCTTAAGGGAACCGATATAAAGGCCTCGGCAACATCAAAAATATCTGAATACCGTCCTGTAGCCGCGACTCGCGACATCCCCAATTGGTAGTAGGACACTAGCTCAACCCGACGACAGAACTGGGTCGGGGTCAGTGTGTCAGGTCAGTATGCAACCTTCAACCGACGGTTACGGTCACGCGTATAGAGGTAATCGCGTAGACGAGAATCCCTCAACAAGCACTAGAGACGTGGCTAGAGAAGTGCAAGTATCAAAAACTAAACTGTGGCAAACGCTGCGTGAAGAGGGGCTGTATCCGTTTCAGGTCCAACGTGTACAAGCCCTTCAACCTGACGATTTTCCAGCAAGAGTGCGGTTTTGTGAGTGGTTGTTGCATCAACATGACAATCATCCGGACTTTTTGAAGTGCATATTGGTGACAGACGAATCTACGTTCACGCGTAATGGGGTGAATAACTTTCGCAACACTCATGTTTGGTCAGTAGAAAATCCGCACGCTGTCCGTCGGATACATTTTCAACAAACATTTTCGGTGAATTTTTGGGCTGGCATGGTGAACGGTATGCTCATTGGACCATTTATTCTCCCAAATCGATTGGACGGGATGCAATACCTAGACTTTTTACGCAACATTTTGCCTTCCTTGTTTGCCTACGTCTGCTCGGTAGCGCATCAGCTGATTTCATTTTCTGCTGGAGAGGTATGATTTCGGCCAGAGACGTACTTAGCCCTTCTCGTCAACTGGAGAGTGAGTACTTTTTCTTTTATTTTTTTACTTGGTCGCCCTCGTTTCACTACACATTACCTTTGTTATTTCAAGGGTAGTTGTTTCTGAAAAGGAAAACCCCAACTTTGCGGACACCTTGTATATGTATATATGTGTATGTGTATATTTATGTAAAAATGTAAGTTAATACCCACGCACAAGAATTTATTCTTCTGTGGGTAAATTCAGTTTATTTACGTATACCTATGTTAGTTTTAGTTATACTTGTATGTTACATGAATAAACTTATTATTATTATTATTATTATTATTATTATTATTATTTGTAAAAAAATATCCAATCCTTGCGATGACACCGACTGGGAGTCCTGAAGGACGCTGTTGGACGCAGATTCTTTTGTAAATAAATATACTACAATTTTAGTGATTCCGATATCCGAAGAACGAAATATATTGAACGACTGTCTCTTGCCTAAACAATAAGCTCTGCTCGAAGGTATAAACTGCAATAATCACGCGTGTTTATCGCAGTCGGGTCCCGGATTCCACCCGGAACTGGCTGGTAAACACACCACACGAATATTTATCTGTTCATTATGTACTTAAATCTAATTACAACAATACCTATCCGTGGAAGATAAATTATAAACACTCAGACATAAATGTCGACTTGAATGTTAATAATCCAATTTTCCAGCTTCACAGGATAGCATGTTATTTACCATCACAATAACAAACACTACCCAGCGATTGTAAATTGAAATAATCAATGAGAGGACAGTTACTATCAACCACTCATGGAGGCTGACAAACTTTTTTGTTTGTTAGGGCTAAATGTTATAAATACCATCGCCAAATGATAATGAAATCAAGTAACGGATATTTGAGAGAAAACACCCTACATCTTGAGAACGAAGAACTTGCGAAGCTAGGGGAGACCGGGGCTGGTTGTCACAATTGTTAAATCTCAGCAGCTCCGCAAGATGTAGTTGCCTGGCGCGCTACACATCGTTTCTGCGTCCGCGCAGAACACTTGTATTCAGTACGAAAGTTGTCGTTGGTAGATTAAGGTCGCACACACAAAAATAAACAAATCGCCTAACCTGAGTAAATTTTTCGTTTGCCACATAATTTGTGTTTTCAAGACTACATTTGATAATAAAAAGAACTGTTGAATTTATTTTGCTCTTCAATAATCCGAATACGACTTAACGTAAGTATTGACTTTGAATTTGTTAATTTAGTGACGCTATCTAACCTTAAAAATTAATTATCTAGTGGGGCACGTTGTCTCAAATTAGCGGGGGCCTCTTGTCACATGGGACAACCAGACACTAGACGATTAGCTTTGCACATCATTCTACGTAGGTATATGTATATAATGTATTTTTTTGGTATTTTCAGGTTACATAAGCATGGTTCGAAATTTCAAAAGGAAGACTGAGAACGGCAAACCGCCGCCTGACGTACTTTTAAGAGCTGCTAGATTAGTGAGATTAGGATCCTCAATAAGAAAAGTGGCAGCTGACTTCAATGTAAATTACCGTACTTTAGCAAGATACTGTAAGAAAATTCCCGAGTCTGAATTACTTGATGATCGACTTCTTGCGCCGTCAATTTCAGTTGTCTACATCAAAAATCATTTAGTATTTGCGCCTGAACTTGAAAATAATCTAGTGGAATATGTACTTAAAGCATCTGATATTTATTTTGGATTATCACCCAAGGAAGTACGTGGACTGGCATATGAATTTGCTAATGCTAATTCCTTGAAAATGCCAGAAAATTAGAAGCTCCATAAAATAGCTGGTCCTAACTGGTTTAGTACGTTTCTAAAACGTCATCCTGTACTGTCTATTCGCAAACCGGAAGCAACTAGTTTAGCAAGAGCCAGTAGTTTCAATAAAACGAACGTCAACGCATTTTTTGATAATTTAGCTTCAGTTATGGAAAAACATAAATTTGAGCCTCGCGAAACCTGGAACATGGACGAAACTGGGATTACAGCTGTCCTAAGACCCGACCGCGTTGTTGCCCGAAGAGGATTCAAACAGGTTGGTTCGATAGTTTCATCTTTCTCTTGTTACTTTAGCAAGTGCAGCATCAGCTATTGGAAATTCCATACCTCCTTTTTTCATTTTTCCACGGGTACATTTCAAACCTCATTTTTTAAATTCGGCTCCTCCTGGCTCTACAAGGTTCTACAAACCTATCAGGTTGGATGAAAGAGTCACATTTCTTGGAGTTTCTTAGATTTTTTCACCTTCATGTGAAAAGTACTGTAGAAAGACCGTGCCTGCTTTTACTAGATAACCATGGATCACATCTGAGTATAGAAGGACTGAACTTTGCCAAAGCAAATGGTATTGTCATGCCCTCTTTTTACCCTCACTGTTCACATAAACTTCAACCTCTTGACCGCGCCAGTTTCGGCCCTTTCAAGACATATGTAAATACTTCCTGCGATGCTTGGGTTTTCAATAATCCCGGTAAGACCATCACTATATACGACATACCTTCAGTGGTCTCTATTGCATACCCCCTCGCATTTACTCCCAAAAATATACAGTCTGGATTTTGGGTATCGGGTGTGTTTCCTTACAACAGAGATATTTTCACGGATGATGACTTTCTTGTGAGCTTTGTCACTGATAGGCCAGATCCGGGTATCTTGAACGCAGTAATAAGTGGATCAAACCCGGAAACCTTAAACGAAAAGGAAGTTGGGCTAAATCCAACTACCTTGCACGAAGATGAAACTGTAAGTCTGATAAATATTAACAAGCAATAGATAATATACGAGAGAGCAAAACAGCTAATTAAACTAGTTCTGATGATCCCTGCTGTAGTAGTTTAGTAAGGCTGCATTCGGGAAATATAGTACTTCCAGAAAGTTTAAGACCTTATCCAAAGGCATCGGCAAGAAAAATGAATCGAATTTCCCGCCGTAAACGAGGGACTGCAATACTCACTGACACTCCAGTAAAGACGAATTAGAGAAAGAGAAAAATAAATGCTGGAACAAGAAAAATAGGAACAGGGAAACAGTGAAAAGAGACGTTTTTGATGCAGAAAAAAAATGAAGAAATCTAAAAAAATTGAAAAACGCTAGTCCTGTTCAGATAATGAAACTGATGGAGAAGAATGTTTTTGCTTGATTTATTTATTTATTTATTTTATTTATATACAGTTTGGGGTGTTAACAGGTAAACCCAACACACACCCTCAGTGAACTAAAACTAAACTTACATAAAATATCGTATACATATACATATATTACATTATTCAATACTTCAATATTAATATTTTTTTTTCCTCCGATATAAAAAGAGTGAGTAGTTCTAATTATAAGCAATTAACTATTAATTTAACTTTTTTAATAAAAGGAGTAACATAATTTAACATTTACTTACGTTTAATTAAAACTGAAATCAAAATTAAATTGAAATTATACCAGAAATGATATTGGAGGTGATAACTTGAGTTATGTAAAAAAATAAAACATTTCTATTTTAGTCTGCCATAGAGCTGTAATACATATACTTTAAAGCCTTTTTCAGGGAGGTCAAGCTAATGTTAAATAAATCTATATTACAGAAATTATTATGATTTTTTTGAGCCCTGAACAAAGGGGAATTAAGACCAAGATTGGTTCTACGGAACGATATTCTAAACAGATGATAGGTTCTAAACGTTCTATCAGGAGTGTTAAAGTTCAAGTTTGCCAAAAGATCCGGACAGTCAGTGAGGCCATTCAACAATTTATGGACACAGTAAATGTCAGAAATCGTTCTTCTATCTTTTAAGGAAATCATATTGAACTGTTTCATAATTTGCGTATAATGATGATCTGTAACAGGTTGGTGAGTTTTATGTGCTAACATCTTCAAAAA